CAGCCCCCCGTGTGAGGGTCAAGCAAGGAGAAGGAGGGAGAGGAACACTGCACCTCCCACCCAGTGAACTTTGGCACTGGAGCCTTTTAATGAACCGACTGTCTTATATTTACATCCTCTATCCTCACATCCGAATAACGCGTGGAGGGAAGGGAGTTGGAATCCTTCAGCGGAATATTGGTGGATCGTCCAAGGAAACTGAACGATTGGCGCTGAACCACTTCGAACTTATGAAATATTCGCAGCCAATAAAAGAGCAGGGCAGGACGCAGCATTGAGCCTTAAGGCTGCTTCAGAGGCCCAGGTTTTCTGGATGAGTCATGACATCGGTTTCCAAAGGTTGCCGCCACGCTCTGATTCAAAACGTCTTTCTTGTCCAACGAAGTTTTAGAGGTGCGAAAAGTCTGCTGACCTTAAAATGAACCGGGAGATTTGATCTGAGGCAACTGGTCACATTCTCCCCCTTCCACCCGGCGGTGGCCATGGAGACAGTCGTCTTTGTTGGTCCGTCGGTTCAAAGACTTCAAAGACGAGGAGCTGTGGACTCTTTGGCTTTGCGACCGACCGCTCGGCCCTCAGACGTCCCTGCTTGTGGAGAGACGTATTAGGAAATGAACTAGATTACTCCGAACGCAGTCGGTACAGGGATAGAAAAAAAAGGGGGATATTAGCTTTTGCAGCACAACGAGAGAAGAATAAGAGGAGCCATTTGAGGTAGATGCGAGGGGGGTGGTCCTTCAGATCCAATTAACACCGACTTTGGGTGGCATGGCTGCTACTTTAAAGAGCCCAGGCTTTGGCTCTGTTATATCTTGCCTTTGGAAAGGGCAACAGGGACGAGGAATACCAGACAAACGAACTAAACAGATCTGGTCAAAATGTCATCGTTAATGTCCCCATTGGCGACCTTCACCCCTCTGCGTGTGATTTGTGGATAGTCCGGATCTCTAGTAGGGAGAGAACGCGAAAGGTTTCAATTTGCTTGTGTTGTTTTGGTTGTAAAAGTAAAATGATGTCACATTGTGGGAATAATGTGATAAAACGTAGACGCGGTGCAGAAGGAATATTTGTCACTTTGACCTGTTTAATCAAGGCCGTGGGCAGTAGGCAAGCGCTGTGTGTGTTTGGCCACACCAACCTCAAGGTACGAATCCACACACGTTTCCACGAATTATAGTTCATATCCAGTTGAGACTGTCGTCCAATCCGGTAATCACCGTGCACACATCTCGCAAAGACCATTTCCGCTGGGAGTGCCACCGCTCGGGGAGGAAATGGGTTGTTTGTGAAACACAGTCACTGCACTTGCCCAACTGCTTCACCAGGACACGCCCCGCCACAATAAGAGCTTCAGAGGAGCCAAAGAGGCTCCTCCGGGCCGCTGAGGGATATCTTTGAAGCTTGTGGTGCTCAGATGCAGTTCATGTGATATTCTTTTGAGCACATACGGTTCTTTATGCACTCAGGCATTGTTGCGCAAAATCCTGTGAGCTCAACAAACCACATGCTGTTATGCTGTTCACATGTTGTGGCTGAGTGTGCCCTGTGGAGGCCCCGGGGATTTTAGACCAAGAGCACGCAGAAAGGCCTCTCCTTATGAAAGTCACCAACCCGGCCTCACAGCAAAACGTGTAATGGCTACATTGTGAAACGTGGTATTCTCACGCTTTTGGGGAGAAAACGTTTTAGTTGCAACTAGGTCACGTGACTATCAACTTCCCCTCAGCTAAATAAAATGGCGGACTGTCGGTCTATCGTCTGTAAAAAACACAATATTTTAAGAAAGTATCAGCATTTGTATACATTTCGATGGCATTTCTAGCGAGAAGTATGCGTTATATTTTCATAATCTTCTATCCGAGAATGCAGAAGACCTTCCGTTTATTACAGTAGTTTCTAGTGACGTAGTTGCAAGGGAATGTAAATGAATGGGCCGAAATAAAACGTAGTAGTGTCATGATTTTGGGGAGAAACAACGTTCCACAACGTAGCTATGACACGTTTTGCTGTGAGACTGGGTTGAAATCACAGCATTGATCAGACCAACGTTTATGTTCTTTAACTACATTATTCAGCCTGATCTCCAAAACCTGTTTGTAAAAATGTATACGAAAATCTTGAACATACAAATTCGTAGCGATACTAAATAAATACGGACTGCAACTGATGACGTCACCCTATTCAAAGTGAACGGGGACCTGCGCCCCGTAAACACACTTCGTGAAGTCTAACAATCTAAAATAAACGTGTTATGATTGCATTTTTAACGAGAAATCAATGTTAACTTGTAAGAATAGAATCCTAACCCTAACCCCCTCAAAAAATCCAACATGGCGGAGAGACGTTCACTCAAGAATCCGACATGGTCCGCCATTCACTCAAGGGGCGTGGTTAACCGCCGCCAGTTCCTATGTATTGTTACCAATTTGTATCTTCAAGATTTTCGTATACATTTTTACGAACAGGTTTTTGAGATCACGTTGACATTATTAGCTTTTAGCAGCGTTAGCGCCTAGCCGCTATGTTAACAGGGGTCTGTACGTCTGGAATTCTAATTTAGCACCACCAACTTCTATTGTACTGGTTTCTATTGGAGCACATTTCACACGCAGTGTTTCGCGTGCAGGTCTAAACTCATTCCTTCCCCCATTAGTTTGGAGTTTCCCCTTTTCTTTTTATGTAACGACATGCTATGGATTGTGGGTATGTCTGTTAAGCGGGGACGGCTGGATTGAAGGAAGAAGCCCACAAGCACTTACTGGTTTCACAGTGGGGTGAACCTCATCAGAGCGCGTCGGAGCTCAGCCGGTCGCCGGGGGCGAAGCCACGACGGGAGGATTCCCGCGACGTTGTTCCGTTGCTCACCGGAGGCTCGGGCTTCGGCCCAAACGCCGTCCCAGTTGCATTCCTCCGGGCTGCGAGCTGACCAGTATTATCTCCGCTCACTGCGGCCACAAAGGACTCGCTGTGTTGGCCTCGGCTGCATTTTTCTTCAGAGAGGGCCGCCTTCAGAAGTGCTTGGTTCTGCCGACGCCACGGCAAAGCATGCACCTGCAGACAACAGGTGTTTATGCTCGCCCGGCAAGAAGCCCCCTCCGCGCTGGAAGGAAGCCTCTCCGGCCTTGGCAGCAGAAAAGATTTATTGACGTAACCCCCACTTACTTTTTTCTCTCACGGTTCCAAACAAGGACATTTCTGTTGGAGTAATCAACCCTTCCAGTCTTCAAGACATATTTATCGGTAACAATCATGCAACGCACGGAAATAAATGACATGCAAGTACGCACGCATACTGTACACACGCTAGCCTGGCTTGAGTAATGGTCTCCCCAGGCAAAGTGTCATGATTAAACCTGCACTGTCTGTCTTCAAAGCCACGCGAGGGGAAACTGCAGGTGTGTAATCTGAAATCAGTGCCAGAAAAAATAGGAGGAAAAAAAAAGTGGAAAGAGCGTCTGTGTGGGGGCCTCCACGTCGAGCTGGGCGGAGGAGTGGGGGCGGGCTCTGCAGTGTGGGTGGGGGGGGGATTACGGTTGTTTGAGGGGGAGATGAGGCGCGGCGGGATCACAGCCCCGTTAAACGTGTGAGCCGGAGCCAGCAGAGGAGCAGCAGAGAAGGCCGACGCTCTGCCAACATTCCTGGGGATCAACGGCAGCCGAAGGCCCCCGCCGCAGAGGCGTAGAGAGCACCTGACGAGGGAGGCTCGCCGGGGGGGGGCCTCTCACGCCACCGCCGCCATTTAAGAAGAAGTGTTTTGTTTAGGTATTCAAAAACATCTCAAGACCCTCCGTCCCTCAGCTTTCAATTAAGCTTTCATATGAATAATGTCGATCGCAGTGTCGCCGCCCCGGCGCTAGAGTTGAGTATAAAAATGAGATTGAATTGGGGCCGGGGAATGCGTTTACACGAAGGGAAGTTCTTTGATCGACCAAAAAGCCTCAAAGAAAGAGTGAGGAACAAGTCCCAGAGAAAGTTCCACAGAGGAAGTCAGCTGGAAAACCAAAGCCGCTGACTCAACATCGCCCCTCAGCAAGGTGATAACAACCCCCCCCCCCTCCCCCTCCACCCGCCCGACCCCCCCGAAGTAAAAGCCTGGGTGGCTTTATACACCCTCATGGGGGTGAAGAACACCAGGCCAATTCTCACTGAAGTAATAAGTAATGCGAGTAACGCTCGGCCATGTACTTTAATTATTGGTCATATTTTAAAGTCAGATGCGTCGTTGTCTTGATGGAAGGAGGGAGAGGATCACGCGCCTTAACGTGCTGCTCTGTGCTGCATGACTGAGTGAAAACGCACCGAATCAGACGCCGATGACGTCGAAGCTCCATGAACAAAACGTAAAATGACGACGACATCTAGTGGTTAAAGCCAGAAGTCCCAAATGATATTTTCTCCTGACACCCAGCCGTTTTTTTAAAAATTCTGCGATCCAGAAGGGATGACAGCGAGTATCATTAGTGTTGTTAACGCGGACACATCGAAGCAGCACAGAGCCGTCTGATGCGCCGACTGATGGAGTGTTCAGGCATCAGAGGACGAGACCCTTCAGTGTCCCCACCTGAGCCAGAGCACAATTCCACACCCACTAATATATTCAACTAATATCATAACACGTCTTTGACAGACGTGGACAGTGAGCTGATTGGCAGGGTGTGTGTGTGTGTGTGTGTGTGTGTGTGTGTGTGTGTCGGGCCTTTCTCTCGGCTGGCTTCGGTATGTCAGGATGGGTTTGATCTTCAGCCGGCTGCTGCAGAGAGGGAGGAATATTAAAGGTCGGGGAGAGGCGGCGCCGAGGGCATCGGGGGACATCGATCGGGCGGATGAGCACACGGGAGGAGAGATAAAGTGTAGAGAAACGGGCCGGTGTGGAAGCCCGAAAACAACATGTGCATTAATCACTCCAGCCATTTTGTATTAAATATATATATATTATATATTATTATGCATCCACACAACATATTCAAAAGCGTTGTGTTAATGTGAGGCCAGGCAACACGTTCAAATTGAAATACAATCTTTATTCAAGGTCATAAACATCTTCCAAAGGTATAATCCAGTAAACAGCGACACAGGCATTTACAATTCAAAGACAAATAATTCACTTTTACAATAACAAATTGAAGGTATTTTTCCACTCGAGGATGCTTTTCACCAGCTGTCGCCTTTTCATTTAGACGGCAGACGAAAAAACAAAAACAAATCAAAACTAATTTCGGTAAATATTTCTATATTAGTACCTTAAATAAAGCATACCAGCTGACAGTCCTGGATCTAAATTGTGATGATTTTCTGTAAATTCACAGTCCTTTGCCTTAAATACTATAATAAAACAACTGACCTCACTGAACATTTGAAGACTAAAATACATTTGAATCTTTGAAAATCACCAGAATACATTTACTCAACTGATACTCACCATGTTGCCCGTTTGGGGGCAACTAAAGGACGTCTACGATACTGAACATAGACACCTGCATTGACTGGGAAAAACACTGCCTTGCTCACCAAGAACCTGGATTTTCCATCTAAAAGTCTAAACGCGACCAGTTTTTTCGTTTTCTATGCTGTAAAATGTGAGGTTGAATGTATTTGTGTAAACATCTGGCCAGAAAATCTGGTTTGTGATATCGCAGAGGATTAAGAATATTTCCCTCAAAAGACCCATTCATAATTCTAAATATCCTACTGGAGTCGTTTTTTTGTGAAGGACAACCTGCAGGACGTTTTCAGGGCGGTATTTTAAAATCTCAAATAAAACGTAAAGGCGTTTTCTGTCCCGATGGACTGAAAGGATTCTCTCTCTCTCTCACAGCATGGATGTGTTTTTAGCAGCTACTGCACGCGTACATCTCTCGCTACGTTTCCCGTGTTCCTGTTGTCTCGTCATCAAGGTACAACACAAGTGACACATTCAACAACTGCTAAAGACCCGACTTGTGTTCACTAAGAAGCTTTTATTAACATGCAAAGACAAACTCAACATCAGGTAGCACGTTTTTTTTTTTAAGTAGAGGAGTCTACATTGCTTTGATAGCATATCTTATTATTGGTTTAACAGTGTTCACTCGAAGCTACATTTGTGACAGTAAGGGTCAGTTTCCTGCACTGTGACTAAATTATACCTTAAATGGACTTTAGATCAACTCAAGTCGGTCTTGTACTCGATTTCCTGAAAGAAGTTTAGACTTCCACTCGGTGCAAAGGGCTGAAATGAAACCTGTAATTTGAAAACCCGGGTTGGACTGATAAATACTTTTAATGCCTCCATTATCGTGGTCTATTCTTTGCCTCGGTGCACCGCGCAGGTGATTTACACCTCGCTCAGGGACCGAAGCCGAGCTCATTAGTCCAGGATTTGGTGTTTCGAGAGGAAAAGTAGTACTGCTCTTTAGGACGTGATTACCTTTCCTCGACTATTCTGCACTCGTAACCTTGAATTGATTCCTTCATCTGCGTAACGATTTCCCATTTTCCTAATTCCCAGTAATCCTCGGCAGCCGGACTGTTATTTCTCTTTTGCAGAGACATTATTATCTGGACCTTTCCGTCACTTTGGAGGACTGGCGAGAAGGGGATTGGAATTAAAGAGCTGCTACGGGTCGTACTTGACCCCTAATGCATGATTAATAATGCCACTGCACGGGTTCATTGTGCGTTTTCATTTCTCTGCCCCCCGAGAGATTTGACCCCACAGAAATTCTGTTCCCACAATAACTTAAAGCTGGGATTCTAAAGAGCCTCGCCATGTTTCGCGATTGTTTCCAGATCTTCTGGGCGCTACATGAGCTCATTTGGTGGAATGAGCCTCCATCTGGACGCACACTGTGCAGCATACTGCCTCATCTCCGGGGACAGTGTAACTCCTCCTTTTCAATTACCAGCCATCAGGGTCTCCTGGTGGATCCCCATTACCGTAAACGCATGACTGGCTCTGGATATAACTTCATCTCGCACAGGAAAAACGTTTACGACAATTGATGTTCAATTTCATAAATGATGGAAAACTGTAAAATTATTATTTTGAAGAAGAAAGTGAATTGAACTTGTAATAATTCAATGAAATAAACACTAAATATCTTTAAACAAACATTTAGGTATTTATGTCTATTCGAGCTAAAGCGTTTCTTAAAGACGAAGCGATTAAAACGATGCGCTGCGGTTTCACGGAGGTTAATGTGCGAGGCTACTTATCGACTGGGCGCCACTTCTTGTCCGTGGGCGAGCTCCCAAAATTTTTTGTTTCCCCTCGGTGGGGAGGGGGGGGGGGGGGGGTTGGGCAAAATCTGTTGCTGTTGGCTCACTGGTGTCAGACGGCGAGAAGAAAGACTTTGGGCCTCTTCAATGATCCATAGCGAGCTCAGAGAAGAGCAATGTGATGCTGATGCTGCTGAGCTGTCCCACCGGCCTTAAAACACCACGACTCAGAGTGCAGTGCCTCAAATCCCCCCCAAATCCCCCCAACCGTATATATATATATGTCTATATTTGCTTCAAGACATAAGGAAATCTACGTGGGATCAAGTTTTCTCGCCCTAAATAGGCTTTCAAGCGGTTTATCTTCAAAGTGTCCTGATGCTGGTCACTCCCCTGCAACTAAAGGGCATATCTGAGGTATAGATTTAGACTCTATAGAATACTATTGGATACATAAGCTACTTCCACAAAATAGTTCTGAAATCTATCATATCAAAGATCGTACAACAAAGATAACAATTACCTCATTACAAAAGATATAGACTGGTAAACATTTAGGATCAACTATCCGTTACGTTGTAAAATATAGTTTGACTGAGACAGCAAAGGGTTGCACAGTGACAGGATGTTCATCTCCCACTTAGAAAACAGCAATAAGCTTCACTGTTTCCCCCCCTTTTTTTTCTCTTTTGATTTTGGTATAGTTACTGGACAAACGGTGACGTTGGAAAAAATTCAAATATTGTAAACATCGTACTGGTACAAAAGCACATGTCGCAAGACGTGGTCAGAAAAACGGCAACACAGGCAGCACGGACAGCTTCTACTCCTCCTCCATCGACTTCTCGATCTCCTTCAGCCTGCGGGACAAACTCCTGAGCCTCCCTTGTCGCCGACGCGGGCGTCCCAGCATCCTCATGATCGGCTTTTCTGGAGGGCGAAAGCAAAACGCATGAGAGGACACACAAAAACGCCTTTTTCTCATTTCGTAGCAATCGCAAACCCCGGGACCTTCACCCTCTGGCCTCCTAGGAACCAATATCACGTTTGTGCAAAACGAAAAAAAAAAAGATCTCCAAGGGCGGGCGAGAGCGCCGCGTACCGCTGGGTTTGCTGCGGGACAGGTGGAGGATGACGGGCTGGACGCTCTTGCCCGCGGCCGAGGCGCTGGGTCTCCCCGGCCAGCAGAAGTCGCTGAGCGGAGCCACGGCTTCCCCGGCGAAGTCGTTGGTGGAGAGCCAGTCGTAGTCCATCACGGTGAAGGTCAGGCAGGCGTACCGGTGCCGGTACTGCTCCGGGCTGACGTGGCTGCAAGACACGGGGGCGGGGGGGGGGTAGAACAATCAGGGCGGCACTTTGCGAAGAGGAAGAGGAAGAGGGAAGAGGAAGGGGAAGGGCGGGTCGACGGCGCTCACAAGTGAAAGAGCTCGTCGAACACCGGGTGCAGCGTTTTCAGTTTGACTTGCGTGCGCTGACTCTTGGCCGCGGGGAACAGGTGGTGAGGGCAGAGCTCCACGATGACGAAAGGGTCACTCAGACCTGAGGAGGAGCAGAAAACATGAGCGCCAACCGGACTCGGCCGCGGCCACCCGGTGACGACGCCCTCACCGTTGGCGTCCAGCGCGATGATATCCGCGGCGTGCAGAATCTCCACCGTCAGTCGCTGCTCCGGAGCCTCGTAGTAGCACTTCAGACTGATCCGGCCGTAGCGAGTGTGTTTCAGGGTTTTCTGAAACAATAACGGAGGATTGTCAATCATTCAATGGTTTTATAACCATCCACGTGCACTATTTCCTGGGTTCCCTCCCCCGGCACAAACCGGGTGAAGGAATGATTGAAAGCACATGTCAAGTCTACATGAGGCGGAACCCGGCAGCATCGTGTTTTTCAAGAGCCCAGGGGGAAGGCAGATTTTCAATCAGGGGTAAAAGAGAGACAGAGACAGAGGGGTTCGCTCTCTCCAATCAATACGCCTCGGTCCACCTTGGGGCTAAAACGAAAGTGCCGGTAAGCGGAGACGCACCTGGTGGGAAATCTTCTCCAGATAGTACTGTTCAATCAGCTCGAAGGACGAGCATTTATTCATTCTGAGCTCCTCATCCAGAACCTAAAACAGCATGGGCCCGGGAAAAGCAGAGGAGATGAATAACACCTTGACTTGGAGGATATAAATCCCAAGAAATGAGTCCCACCTTGTAGTCTCCGCTCTTCATGTCTTCCAGGGAGAGACCTTCTCCCTTGACATGCAGGAACTGCAACAGGGTCTAAAGCATTGCCGTGGAAAGATAAATGTAAATATAAAGATGAATTCATCCCCCTCATGTTGATGGAATGACGGGAGACAAGCCTCTTCACAGAAGCGGCATGAAACCTCTGACAGGCAAACACAATATCTGTCCGCCGTGCAGCGCGCCGTGCAGCGCGCCGCGCCTATCGAGCAAATCTGTCACGTCCGCCGCCAGCTGGTTAAACTGGAATCAGAAAACACAACAGCTCCCACGTTGTCATTTATGTGGTTTCGGGGCTGAACTACTACCTGGGGACATCATAAATATCTTATATATGCTAATGATTGCACGCCGGCGAAGCCTAGAGAGCTAATTAAAAGGACGTCGGTATCAGCCACAATCGCTATCCGTGCGGAGCCGCCGCGTCTCCCTCTGCCGACTCCTCCTGTCAGTCACGCTACGAGGAGAGAGCTGGAAGACAAATGCAGAAGCCCGGCCACTGACCTCCACGGTGTACTGGAAGCGGTTGTAGAACTCCACCTGAACGCCGGCGTTCTCTGCGATGGCGTCCAGGATCATCCGCAGCAGCAGCTCCCACAGGCTTTGGAGAACCCTGAGAGGCCGCAGACACAATGAGAGACCCACACCGTTGGGTTTTTACAACAACAACCCCCCCACCCACCCCTCCCCAGCTTGATGATGATGAGCGGAATTATTATTCCAAAGCTTCCAGCACACAATAGCACAGGCGCCACATGCATAACATAAAGTTATGCACATTTCATGCTGGGTCATCAAATCAGCAGTTTATTTTTGGCGACACTGCAGTAATTCCTAAAATACTTTCAGCGGTAATTCTCATCTGGCCCACAACGTGCAGGTCATGCATGGAACGTTCACGTATGCCCCGTGCACGGACAGGAAGGGAGGAGCTAGACTGGAAATGCTCCCACTGGGAGCTTTGCACCACGTTAAATAGCTGTGACTTTATGTCGGGGATTCCGTCTGGTTTTGTTTGTCATTTATTTTGTGTTGTTTGGACAGTTTCACCTAATGGAAATGAGCAATCTGGTCATAATTCCAAATAATAAAGCACGTTTATCGTGAGGCGAGACGAGGGGAAGGTAATTACCTCGTCAGATTCTCCTTCACCAGGTTTTCAGTGAGGATCGCCATGGTGTCTTGCAAGTACTTCATCAGGGGCGACACCGCCTGGAGGAGCGCACGTTCAAACGTGTAAGTGCTTATTTATGTGAACGAACGCAGCAGAGAAGCGCTTCACTTCCTCACGTCGTCATTGTTGATGGAGTCTGGAGACAAGCTGATGTGCTGGATGTACCTCCGAAGCTCAGGCTGCATCTGCACAGAGACAAAGCGGCCCGTGTGAGTACAGCGCCGCGTCTCCCCGGCAGCCCCGAGCCGCAGGCGTCCGGCACCTTGTCAGTGAGCAGCGTGATGAGCCGCGTGGCCTCCCTCTGCAGGTCCAGGTCCATGTTGACCAGCTGCCCGTTGAGAGCCTTGTAAACCTGCTCCTTCCCCTCGGCGCCGCAGGACTCCTCCATGGCCCGCTCCACACCTTGCCAGTCCAGGTCCCGGGGCAGGTGACCCAGGAAAACGCGCGCGTGCTCCGTGTTGTTCAGGCCCACGCAGAGCTACAGCGGAAAGCCAGAGGAGGCCACAGGAGAGGAGGAAAACAAGAGGGCGGAGGGACGGGGGCGCGAGTGTGAATGATTGACGCCGACAAGCGGTGACTGAGTCTTCTTTGTTGGTGTAAACATATCTGATCTCCCGCTGAGCCCTTTGTCCCGCCCCCCTCAGCTCCGTCTTGCTACAGGCGTTACCTGCACTGTGAAGCTCTTGTGGTCTTGCCCCAGCTGGTTCCTCTCAATCTTTCGCGTTATCATCTCTGAATAGCACACAGCCTCGCTGCAGAAGTTCTGTGAGAGGAAAAAGAGAAGATTTACAAGTTTCATTTCTGTTAAATCTTCTAACAATCCCGTCGTCTGTGTGCGTGAGTGGAAGCAGCGCTCACGTCGGTCAGGCGAGTGACGAAGATGAAGGCCCCCGCAGAGTCCGGCCAGGCCAGCTGGAGCCACATCTCCCGTACCTGGCTGAGGCACGTTACCACCTCCACGGCAGACGAGCTGTGCTTGGCCTGCTGCGCGCGCTCGAGCTGCTCACCGAACACACGGAGAAACAATCTCAGCGGGCGAACAGAGCGGGTCAACTATCCGCAGTTAATAGATCATAAATCTGCGTGTCTCTGAAAAGGCATTTTTGTAAATTCTGACATTTGAATGTGCACGCGGTGGTTGATGGATTTGAGTCTGTGTGTTTCCAGTGAGCCGACATGCCCGTCAGAAGGACCTAAATGGAACCGGGCCGTGACGGATGTCTTTAATTAGACGTGTGTCTACCGAGCACTGACAAGTTAAAGGCCCCCTCCAGGTATCTCTGAGTGGAGCGGGTCTCCCACCTTGTCCGTTTCCACCGCGTTACGGATCCTGTCGCAGGAACGCTCGTGAACGATCTCCAGCCACCTGTGAATCGATGACTTGAACCAGTTGTGGGAGCCGGTCAGGGCCAGCATCTTGGCGTCCCTGTAAGAGAAGAACACGCGTTCGGAGCGGAGCGAAAAAAAGGCTGAACCGCGCCGCCGTCTGAAACATCCCCGGAGCTGAACTGATGACCAACTTGAGAGGAAGGAACTCCCGAAAGCCGTTGAGGATTTTCAAGGACATGAAGAGCTCAAAGATGGTCTCCCCCATCGCCTGCGTCAGCCTGGAGCTCTCCTGCTCCAGAGTCCCACAGACGCGCTCCATCGCTACGTTCACGTCGTCCGCCACCTGTGGGACGGAACAATGTGGAGCCGTGATTTTCAAACGACATTGGATGACTGCAGGCAATACTGGTTTTCAATGATCGACCTGTTTCTCCAACTGCCTGTATGATATGCTGAAGAAATCTTCTTTCACTGTACTGTGGGAAACAAACAAGCAAAGGAGGAGACGTCTTCAGCTGGTTTTCCCCGTGGCGTTTTCGTCCCGGGTGAGATGCACAGGTCGGTATTCACCTGTAGAAGAGTTTGTTGTAAACGTTTTGGGCTCTCTGCACGTCTGCACACACGGCATCCACCACCTGGACCAGCTTCTTCAGCTGCTCCTCCAGGGTCTGCACGGGCCAAAACATCCCCGAAAGTCAATCGTCACGCCACAGACCATCAATGACGACGCGGTGGACTGACTTCTACCGTCATCGGGCATGAACGCACCCCGTCCTCTGGCTTGAACTGCGCGATCAGGCTCTCGTACCACTCCGCGGTTCCTTTCTGGTGGAATAAAAGCAGATGAGCTCAAAGGGTGGAGTACACAAATGTAGCAGAGACATGTATTTCCCTGTCTGTTGTCACCTTGACAGCCGTGGTGATGTCCAAATGCAGATCGTGCCGAAGGGGACACACGGTCTGAAACGCCGGCATGTTTTGCATGTAGCCGACCCCCCTGGCGTTCACAGACAGGAACACGCCATTAGCACAAGAAGTATTTAAGGCTCGCATAAGTCAAATTATTCTTTAGCGCACAGTCGAGTGTCGCGGAAGCTTCGGCCTGGCTTCTTCACACTCGTCCCGCACCGTCTCTGCAGGGGAGGCGAGCGGACGCACAAACAGTTTGGTGAGTCACTGCGCGTGTGTTTCTCGGGAGATGAAGAAAACATTTCCTTCGAGGTGTTGATTATTGGGCAGAGCTGGACTTTTTCCTGGGAAAGTTTCTATAAATAAAAAAAATTAAAAAAAAAAAAAAACACTCCTCCACAACAATAAGACATTTATTAATTAGCTGGGTTACACTGGCTGGCGTTTCTGCGGGAGAGAATCCCTGATTTCACTGCCCTTCCTTCTGTTGTGTGACGGTAACACAAAGTCGCTCCATCACACTTGATAAAGAATGTCTGACCCCGATACAATGTTGTGCGTGGGGGGGCAACACGTGAATGAAATTGATTGGATCCATGAAATCCACTGTGGATATTCATGTTCTCAAAAGAATGGATGTTTATGATTTCCTCAGTCTAAAGATTCCACATGCGCACGAGCATCAGAATCGATGTGCTCGATATCAGACTGTGTCGGGTCCAACGAGGGTCTACAGCGTCTTTAAGGTCGTGAACCGAGGAATCCATGTTGCACACTCGGTGAAATGAGCGGCGACTAAGACCCTCGTGCTCAGGCAGCCGCTGACTGATCCGAGTCTCTCTCTTGTCTGCCGGTGGCGAGGGGTGTCACATGCGATGCGATGGCGGCGTGGCTTTACCTCAGCATGAGCTCGTAGCGTGCAATGGCCGCGGCGCTGCTGCAGGGGAAAACCTGACGCATGTTCTTCATCAGGCACAGGCAGTGCTCTGTGTACAGCCTGAAGCTGTCCGACAGCTGCCTCTCCTGGACACAGGAAGGGCCCTACGGTTATATATCCTCAAGCACGCCGGCCCAGCGAGACATTTTTGGCTGGACCAAAAACCTTGAGACGCATGCCAGTGACAAGCTACGGCTAATGAGGTGACTGTTTCCACACGATGAAAGGGTTCTGGGTTCGGGTTTTTTTTTTTTGCCCCCCCACGGACGGCTGGAAACCTACCAGCTCCCCCCTGACGGCGGAGGGGTCCCACTCTGCGTCGATGGTCCTCAGGAGGCGCAGCAGCAGGGAGTAGCACAGCCTCTGGGTGCGGTGGTGGCTGCTGTAGCACTGCCAGCGTCTGGGTGGGGAAACAGAGCGCGGCGCCTTTCACCTGATGCTCGCGCTCGGGGCGTCTGGATTTGATCGACTGTGTTCCTCCGTTTGGTACTCACATAACAGCCTGTTGGAGGGGGGAGAGATCCGTCTGCACGGCGTGGTGCGTCAGCACCGTGCAGGCCGCAGGACAGACCTGCCCGTTCCAGTTGTACGGCTCTCGCTGGCGTTTCACAGAGCAGATTAACACTCACCGCAAACTTTGCACGGGTTTAAAAAGTTATGACCGTTACTATGATTAAATAACTATTAATAAACTGAGAGAGTGAGTAGCCATGGTTACAGAACGTTAAACTGGTGGCGTTGTCCTTAAAGCAAGCGAGTAAAAATGCACAGCGGAGGCAACGTGGGGGAAGCTGGGTGACATACATGTTATAGATGTCTGATGCAAAGTCTGTTTTTTTCCTCATGTGACCAAACAATATGATGGTGTGTGAGTGCTCCATGACTAGCGTGCACTTATAGCAGTGTCCACTGGGGCCAAATTCTTATTTAAAGGAGGCTCTGGAGAAATATCCGCCTGTAACTCACCTTAACATGAGCGTGCTCGTACTCCACGATCTGACTCAGCAGTTTCTTGTGAATGGAGACGTTTGAGTCGGTCTTAGAAGAAGCCGTGTCCCTCTGAAAGGAAAAAGGGAAGATAAGAAGGGTGCAGTTTCTTTCATGTGCATGTACAATCTGAATTCACCCACCTGGTTGGTGAAGAGCTTCAGTATCAGGTGACATTCTCCCTGGACTTTAGACGTACTTGAACGAGGCTCCAGCTTAAACCAGGTGTCATAGCCGACAATTGGGCACTCCTGCAAAAAAGGATTAATACCAACCATATTCTTCCCCCTGTGTCCTTCGGGGTAAATGTGCAGCTCGACTTATTTGATTAGACTCACATTCAGAGGGACGTTGATGCATCCGAGGAAGTCGTCAGCGTTTTCCTCAGAGCCCGATGACGCAGATCCGTTGGAGCGGACAGACTTTGCTATCTGCTTAAAATACCTGATAAACGCAGGGGATTTTTTCGTTTTGAGAATGACAGTCGGCTCCCCCTCAGACTTTTTGTCCAAATGGAAACTGCGCATTTCAATCTTCTACCTGCCCATTCCTCGAAGTCCGCTGACTTCATTGAGCTTTTTGCAGGCCTCTGCGACGGACACGTCATCATCGTGATCCCTGCAGAGAGGAGGGCGACCTTTCACACTTAATAAGGATTCTTTCACCAATCTTTTATGCAACACTGCCGATACAAAAAGGCAACTTTTTTTGTATATATTTTTGTGGTGCAAGAAAAAAAGATACTATTTTGACAAATCTGCCAACTTAATATGATAAAATGAGAATAATTCTAAAACATCTGGCATGGCGACATTCAAAGAACTCACGGCGCTGCTTGCGTACTGATCTTACCATATGTCCAGATGCAAGAGGTCATTATGGACATCATCAATTCACTGTGAAAGGAAAGAAAAATCCTTGAGTCTCTGTGGATTATACTGGAATAAACACATCAATCCTTCAGTGGACCTCCTGCATAGATGATGCCACTGGTCACTGTGACACCAGTTAAACAGTGAATCCTGCATGTCACACATATCCGGCGCTCTGCTGAAGGGTTTGTACTCACAAGACAAAGTGCTCCTCCCACACGGGGTTGAGCGTCTCCGGTTTGACCTCGGTCACCTGGATGCACCTTGCAGGTAACACCTCCTTGGTGCTGGAGCGTTTCTCCAGCTTCTCCTTTCTCTTCCTGAAGCTGAACTTCCGCTCTTTCTTCTCCTCCGTCTCCCGCGGGCTCTGGCCCAGCAGGATTCCCAGCATGCAGTAGGGGTCGCTGTACCCTGGCAGGCCACGGAGTGACGCACAGAAAAGGTGAGACCACAAACGCGCAAAGCTGTTCACGGCCGTCGCCGCGATGGCGCTGTTATAGCAGCGGGAGGACGGAAGCCTTTGGGCTCATTTCCGATCACAATCAGTGGTGTGTTTTGGCAAAGTGCTCATCAATGTGAAGATGACAAACTTCCCCTCCCATGAAAAGTGGACTCCGGTCCAATATGACGTAATGATATCGTTGTTGGCTCATTCATGTGTAAGAAAAGGTTTTAGGGGATTACAAGGGTTTGAGCAAATCGTGGGCAACCATCTTGAGGCGTCTCACCATTTGCGTCCTTGGCCATCAGATTCTTCGCCTTCATGACGGAAACTCTCAAAGAGAAACTGGCTCGCTGCGAAACAAAGAAATTTACTGTAGGAAAGGAAACACTCAATGCAACCAAATGCGTAGAATACGTTATCTTTTTTTTATTGACTTTAAAATGCATTTCAGCATTCATTCTAGAGAGAAATGTGAAGGCTTTAGAAGTCGCAGGTAGAAATGTGCTAAAACTCACTATCGTAATTGTAATGTAATGTAATGTGAGGACTCAGTTCTTGGCAGAGTCCCTGGCAGCCACGTGACGGACACACACACACACACACACACACGTACAGCACGGGCCTTACAGGTGTAACAGGTGTTACGTTGCACTCTCCAAGGGCACCAGCGTGCTCCAAATGTTTCTCTCAAACACTTTCAACTTATTACTAAAGCAGAGTGCAAGGAGCGGAAAATACCAGGAAATGCACTAAAACACCAGCTGTGGCGGCACATCTGGGGATTTAGTGACGCCTCTAAAGTTAAATTAACTTGAGTTGGTACCGACTTAACGGAGGGTTTTTTTTGTTTCATAGGCACCAAATGTTATTATATATATTTTCACGGCTTGTTCTATATATTTGAAATATACATCAGTGGTGATACGTCCACTCTTTTGCATTTGCGTGAAATGTTCTGGAGACGAGATGGGACCTATCTTATATTACAAGTATCAGTTGTGCTTGCAACTGAAAACAACATAATTCATATCAGCACGGACGAGTACATTTTTCTCTTTACATATTTTTATCAACCTGCGGCGTTATATCTGAAGGATATTAATTATTGTAGCAACAACTTGAATGGAGAGTGAATCTCACCTTGGACGCTTGAACTTTCTGGAGAATGATGTCGTGCTCCTCTTCACCCATATCAAACACCTTGGGTGGTCGGGCGGTAAAGAAAAAGGCTTTTATATGCAACAGAAAGCCGGATAAACATTCCAGGAACACTCAGGGTTTTATTACACTTCAAAACGCGCTACTATCCGCTGCAACGCGAGGAACACAACACAACCTGAAGAGAAAAAAACCCCACCACCCACTCCAGTCATAAAAGAGTCTATAATCCTGAGCAGCGTTTGAATAGACGTAATATCACAGCTGTACACCAGTACCCAGTGTGACCGGACTCTGATGTTTAATCAGGTTAGAGCCCGGAGCATCTGCGACAAATAACGCCGTGGCCGAGGCTAGCGGCGCCGTTACTAATGGGAGACGTGGTGCAGCTCAGGAAATAGATTCTGCTTTTTAGATGGGGGGCAGGGGGGGTGGGAGGGTGGGTAGCGGGTACCTTGAGCAGGTAAGCAAACAGGTCCTCCTCACTTCTCACGTGTTCAGGCGAAGGCACTCCCACCCGGTTGACCACCGTGTACACAGCTTCCTCATAAAGCAGGTCCAGCTGCACGAGAACAAACGCCACTTAATTGCATCCCTCAAAAATAAAATGATGAAGAAGAGCTTGTGTTCCTTCATCCTCATATTTTCTCCCTTCTGCTGTCTATTGTTGCTGGAACACCAAGAGCAGACGCACCTCAGTCCTTCGGATCCTGTCGGGGATGAAGGCCTGGTCCACGTGCTCCTGGGGCGGCGGCGCCGTGCAGGCTTCTCCTTCGCCCTGTGAGGGGGTCAGACACGGCTCAGCCAACACAAAACCCGTCCGCCTCACAACCTCAATACAATCAATCCAACTATTTTTTTTTTTTTATTTCAACGGTGACAAACAACTAGTAATGTCAGTATTTTCCTGAAGTAGTCACTTTGTCAATAGACCACCAACCAAAATCATCAGACCAATTTCCAAATGTAGACTCAAAAGAGATCAGATCCAAAACATGGAAGTTGTCTGATTATATTATTTCTAACCAATTATGATATTTAGCGTGAACGTTCCTTATGTTTTGATCGTGACCCTTTATTTCTACTTCTGTCTCAGTCATTTGGAAATGAAGACATTAATTGCGCTCAGCCAACATGTTGCGAGAGCATCTTTGGCATCTTGGCGTTGGCAGCGGCAGGAGCCGAACACGTCGGCGGCAGCTTGTCACAGCCGAGCGTCCAAGAGCCCCGGCTCCACCCGGCCCTTCTGTCCGCCCGCGTCACGCCGGCCCGAGCAGACAGCGCCGAGGCCCACTCGAGCTGCACGGACGTGTTTCAGGAGGGGGGGCAGCAGACGGAGAAGTGGAAGTCGGGTGTGGGCGGGGAAGTTACCTCGGCCTGGGCCGCCCGCAGCATGTTCTCCTGCTTCTGAAGGATGGCATTCACGCGATCAAAAAACTCCACGCTCTCCTCGGAGATCCTGCCAAGGAGACGAAACAGATTGAACTGAAAATAGAGATGAAACACTTGCTAAATATGTCACGGAGGAAAACGCGAGGTCACACGCGTGTCGTCTTAACAGACAGATCTGCATAGACACTGCATCCTGTTTACAGACACTTCAGAGAAGCATCTGTCAATAAAGATGATCCGCCGAGTCGCCTGCAGTTCAGCTCCTCCGTTAACTATCAAACACCTTCTTATCTGGTGCACTACGAGGAAAAAAAGCGGGTCTGGACCACAGCGGTCATGTCTGCGCTCTGCGTGAACCGCGTTCGCCTGCATGACGAGCGGGGCGGCGTGCAGAATGCAAATGTCCCCTGTTTGCTTCAGGTGTGAGCGAATCCCCCGGTCTCCCGCTGTGCCCTGTTGTCATGGTGACACATGCACATTCGGGGGGGATGTGGGGGGGGAGTAGCTGACTGAACACCTTGGGGAACCACCCCCCTTTGACATCTCGCAACGGGGGGCTTCCTAGCGGCCTGCATGGAGATCACCATCGTGGATCAGCCGTGCAGTCTGCCTGTAACTCCTCACCCCCCCCCCCCCCAGATCCCCCCCAGACCCCCCCAGACCCCCCCCTCCCCCCTCTCTCTCTCTCCGACCCCATCGCATTACACCGAGGAGCCGTCCGCACAGGCGCTGCCACGCTCTTTCATTAGCCTCATCACAGCCCAGCGGGCGGGTCGCAGCCCATCCCGGCACCCATTGACTCTCGCCGCGGCGCTGCAGCGGTTGGCAAACCCCTGAGGTATTGATGAGGGCTAATGGTGGTCATGCTGAGACGGATGGTCAGGTATTCAGTCAAAGTGGGTGAATCTGTTATCAAATTACCCTAAAAAGGCAGAAGAGTCTTCCTCGTTTGAATGGAAATAATACCAAGCAAACAGTTTGTAATCAAAAGCTCTGCAGCTACGGATGATTGCATGACTAGATTAATTATTTGGCTCGTGCAAATGACAGAAAACGACAAGCTGACGTCATTCAGGTTGCTTCCAAAACAGGGAAATATCATCCAAAACTAAGAAAACCTGCAAAGATTCAGATCTTAGAAGCAGAGTTGTTTCCATTAATAATGAGCATTCATGCTTTTGGCTCTAATCTAATTCTTCTCCGTGCGTCTCTGTTTTCACGAGGATGGAGTTCCACCTTTATTTGTTCGCATTGAAACTATAGATTACAACAAAGAAAAGCCTTTCATTTTCAGCCCCAGTGGTGTGTTTGTTGATTTGACGGCATACTAATCAAAAACAAAGCTGCTCTTGTGATCTGAAGCCTCTCGGTCCGTGTTTGATAGCTTGAAGTCTCCATTCTGCAAATGCCTCCGCCAAAGAAAAGACAAAAGATGGGAGGTTTTGTGTTTTGGGGCTTACGGTTTTCATTTGAACGTACAGGACAAATAAGCTTCATTCGATTGGGAGACTTGTGATACGAGACACTGGATTCTTTCCAGATCCATCTCGAGGCGTCTTCCTATCCGCACATCTGTCCCATCTTCTGTCAGTCAGCCCGAGGATTTGTCCAGACAGTCGGGGATCCTTAGATTCCGGCTTTAGGCCGACGTGTTCGTAAGCCAAAAATAATGCTCAAATGACACAAACACAGCCAATCCTGATCTGATACATGACAAATAAAAACAAATGCTGATATCTTTCTCTCTCTGACACACATAAATAATTACGAGGGTTTGATGTTGCTGTGCAACAGGTCCTCTTTTCAAATAGTCATTTTCTTCAAATGTATTTTCAGACCTAATTCCAATTTCCCATCAGCAGGAAGAAATACATAAAAACATGGACACATTCTCCAGAAGAGAACAAATGTGACTAATTGGGGGTGTTTGAGTTGACAGCAACCCCTCGCTTCAAACTTCAATATAATACGGCGGTGCATACGTAGTAATTAATAGAGCAGACATCATTGTTTGCAGCATGAAAGACAATGTGACGTCTGCGTGCATCAAATACAATAAGCGGATTTCATCACGGTTGTCAGCCTATCGCAGCAGAGGGTCTCTTCCATGTGAATACCACGCACGTCACTGCTTGTTTTACTCTAATTACACATTTGATTAAGCAACAAACATCGCAGGTGAAGAGGATCTAATATGGAGATAAGATCACACTGTCTCTCCGTCCAATAACTTGTGACTGACAGAAGGAACAAAAGCCTGCTGTGAAATTATTTTCAATTTGGGTCCTTTTGGCTGCTTCACAAAGGCGCTCCACAGTTTTCTATCTTTTTTTACCGTGCAGGTCAATAGCTGACTGAGGATGTGAAGCATGTGGAGCGGCTCTCAGGTAGAGCTCTGCGTCCTGTTTACTAACTGCTTGGGTCAGGGGTCAAATCACGACCAAAGCGGACCACGAACTAGTGCCGCCAGCACAGCGTTGTTGGGTCTGAGAGCTGCAGCTCCACCTTCTCGTTTGACGTCTGACTTCTTCCACACAGGCAGGAAAATATTGAGAGAAAAAAATAACACATTCATGGTTTGGGTGTGTCATGGATAAATAAAAAAGAACATATCAAATATCGGATAGCAAAAAAACGGACAATATTTAGTCTCCTGTCGAGCTCATCGCTGCCAGCGTCACATGCGTTTTCACCCACTTGACAACCGGCTCACAGAAATGCAATTTGCTGAATTAAAACCCTTCAGCCCGCCGGACTCTGCCACTCGAGCTCTGACAGCCGACCGCAGCGGCGGGTCAACGACTGCGGCCGGAGCGGCCCGAGTCCACCCGGCCTCATTTGCAAATTCTCAATTAACGCGAGAGTGCAGGCAGGCCAGCAGCCGTCTGAACGGATAACAAAGATCAACAGCCGGCCTCTAATGATGAGAGCTCGGGGCGGAGGGTCGGTGGGAAGGACGCGGCACCGGGGAGCTGGTGTGGGAAATGAGAAGAATGTGAGATACTGACGGTTCAAATCCCTCTTTAATGAAGAACACAAACAGGCTCCCATTGGAGCAGGTTTTTACATCACGTCGCACCAGGGATCGAGTGATGAAACGAACCGGAGAACATGCATCCGAATGACGCATTCGTGGAAAACGGTCAGCTAATATTCTTCAAAACCAAAATTGATCAGCGTTCAGCAAAGTGGGGTTATGTTCCACGTTAAAAATAGACCTGGTTGCCAGCACGAGTATAAGTTCACGGCGGCAGCAGCCTGTATTTAGGTTGCCATAGAAACCACAGGTTCGTACAATTACTTTTGGCTTCAGATGACGCTTCGGGAACAAGACTGGAAAAACAGATTCAAGATTTAACCTGTGCCACATTATTTGTTGCTACAAGGTAAAATAAAAATGTTAAAATCGTATCAGAGGGACAAATAAATAAAAAATAATAAAATTGTAAGGATAGTGATAAAGACGTTACACACAACTTTGACAGAATAGACAAAAAAAAATAGTACATATATAGAGCAATTCGTACACATTTCATGTCAACATATGCACATACACACATACGCACAGTACATGGAAATAATATTGGCATAACAACATGGTAGGTGTCATTTATTAGATGACTAATGAGTCGTGATCAAAACAGTGAGCAGCTCCTTTTACAAATAAAAAGTGTGGTGTTATATTATAATCTACTAATGTTTTCAACTGTGGTTCAAACAGAAAACACCTGCACAGGTAAACCAAGACATGCGGCGACCTCCTGACTTGTGGATGCGGCCACAGGCCATCTCTCAGCCACCTGCAGCGCCGCGGCCCACTGCGCGGTGTAGTACACCCACAGTGCAGATGTGTCCTGAGGGGGGAGGGCGCCCGCTGCGCCTATAAACGCTCATTCGGACGTGGAGGCGCTGACCTGCGGCCTCAGCCGGACGGCCAGCGGGAAACGAACGAATCACGGGCACGACTTCTCGCCATCTTCTTTCTGAGCGACACTGAATGCAATTTCATTTTCGTTTTTCCTCAACAAAGAGCGTCTTTAGTCGAGGCCGTCAGTTGACCTGAAGCGGCAACAATCAAGCAAACAATCGAGACATAAATGAATGTGTCTTCGTGCAAAGGCAGAAGCAGAAAAGGTGCATCACAACACGAGTTCACTTAACCTCTCCGCCACTCAGTGAGCCCAGAAGAGACGCAGAAAAGAAAAAACAGTCGTAAACCTTTGTACCGGTCAAAGGAAACAGCGCCACAACTCCACGAATCTCACGTCGATGAACCCCTCCCCTCCTCCCCCCCATAATAACCAGAAACCAAGTGACTCACCTGCGAGGTAAGGGGTCAGAAGAGTGCTTGAGGGGGCTGCTGGGGGTCGGCGGCGGCGGCTCCCATCGGCTCCTCAGCGACTGGCTCCTCTGCACCTGCCTCAGCACACTACTCTTCAGGTCCAGCAGCGCCGTCATCGCGTCTCTCTGCGAGGACACACGCGCACACAGAGAGGTGCAACCCACGATCAGCACGCTGAGAAGCAATTCTAGAGAAGGGAGAGGAAATACGTAGCTTCCACCTTCTGGTCGGGCCGGTTCAGCGCCGATCAAGCTTTGTCTTTGGGGATCACGTTTTGTACCAAATGTGCAAATCACGAGGCCCCACAGAGCCGAGAGCCACAAGAGACCAAAAAACAGCAAATAAAACCGGTTACATCACTAAAGCGAAGCGGCAACAGAGCAAAATAAAAGCTATGTTTAAAAAAAACGGATTCCAGAGAACGTCGTTGAGCTGAGGCCTCTAAACTAAAAGATCTCAAAAACATCTCAGTCCGAGGAGCAGGACGTTGGTCGGGTCAAACAGTAGCTTTGTTGTTAAATAGAGAGCACTGGGAACTGATGTGGGAGGAGGATTTTCCTCAACATTTGCCGTTAGCTGTTGTTTATGCTAAGCTAAGTTAGCTGTACTTTAGCCTCATATTTCACCCGATCTTCTCTTCTCATTCGACGAAGCTCATCGTTGTTCATCCCAAAGGACAATCTACAAACTAAAAAAATAATACAAGAATATCAACTCTATTGTTTTAAGTAATAAACCGAAGCGTGAAAAATCAAATGAATCAATGTTTTCACAAACAAAGGATTGACTTGTAGCATTAACCAGAATAAGACAGGCTCTGCATGTAATGAACACATGTTAAACAAAATCCCGTTAAATATTAACATGAGGCAGCTTTTGTGTTAACATTCATCAGAAGCAGGAATACTGTTCAGGGTTCTGATGGCTACTTGTCGTAGAAAATGGTACAATCTGGTGACCTGAAAGAGAAACCATTCGCTTCATTGTGTTATTTAAGTATAACTGAATTGTGTGACCTGATATAATAACATTGTGCACCGTCAGCGCTAAAGAATACAAATAAAGTGTTGTTTTTTTATGAAAAAGAGCCCATCTGCATTTCCCCCTGCTTCCAACTTGAATACTATTTTTAAGTAATGCCCCTTTGTGACCTTTGTTATTGTCAAAAGTCAGACAGTGAACTTTATCGTGTGTCCCCGGTATATCCGAGCTTTATTACGAGTTAATCCCTTTAATGTCAAATAAAGGTCGGGAATCTGTGCTTCGATATTGGAGTCTGTCACCAAACCCTCACGGGACCACGAGGCGTTGATTAATTGTCAAATCATTTAAGAACATTACACGTTGAGCCCGTGTGACTGTTTGCACTGCGGCCTGCTTTCCCTCCCAACATCCACTTCACGTCCAAAAGCCTGAACATGGAACTTTATCGCAAAGTTATTAAATCAAAACTATAAAAGTCATTAGATTCTAGAGCCAAACAGTCAGGGAGGCTCACGTCTGCCCGGCAACGGAGGAAGCGAGTGAAGCTTATTGTCAAATCAAAGACCCCCCCCCCCCCCCCCCACACACACACACACTGACTGATGTGAGAACCCCGGATGTTTGTGAGAGAGACTCCCAAGAAAGAGAAATGACGGAGACACAAGAGAGAGGCTTTGATTGATGGAAAAGCCGTAAAAAAAAAACAGAAAGAAGCCGCGAACAACGGGAGCTCGTTCTGACGATCCGCCCGGAATAAGACACATGACTCACTCGCAATTAACAGACTGCGCGAGGGCAACAGCGGAGAGACGTCTGGCCTGAACGACGTTGCTTAAGTGAAAGTATTTGGAAGCATCGCAGGCCGAGCCCAAAGGACAAAAACGCCCATCGATCGGCTGGCACCCGTTAACCGCTTCCGAGGCGTTCGCACTTTACTCCATTAGACTCAAGTGTCCGTGCTCCTTCGCTCTCAGATAGCGTCGCTTTGCCTTTTCCAAAGAGCAAACCGCGCTCCTCGAGAGATTTCCTTCAAAAAGCGCCTCGAGGGCCCGTCGGTGTTTGGGTCGCGGTCTACGTCGCGGCTGCGAAAAGGTCGGAGGCTTTTGTTAAGGGGTCAGGGTGACCCGCAGAGACGGCCTTCAAGGATTACACGTGGAATGCCAGATTTGTTGACTAAACTCCGTGGCATCCTTCAGGGGCTCAGGATGTTCAGGTTGTCCTCGAAATCAACAACGACTCTTTTCGGGGCGTCGCGCTTTTGCCCATCGAGCTGCTCCCGCTGCGCGTCTCCGGCGACGCGCCTTTTCTCCCGATTCCACGTGATCACGCTCACGCCGTGAGGCACGGTGAAATGAAATGCACATTCAATGCTTTTGCATCAACTGGTTTCCGAATGAACAGCACAAAGTTGTGTTGTTTTGTCATCACATTTTGGCCCAATTGAGAAAGTTGAATGAAATGTACATCTGCATCCTTCCCAAAATGTTGTTATATGTTGTCGTATTAATATCAGTACCTGTTTATGTGCAAGTGCTTTCACATCTAATAGTGTAATAGTGTGTTTTACTGTCTTTTTGAGCGTGAGCCTTCAGGGACGCATGTGAGACCAACAGGTGTTACGATGGCGTAGCATGTAAAACATGAACTACCTCTTCAACAGATAACAGAGCATCGCTGTGTTATTCCACAGCAGGAAAGTGTCCAACATTCAGAGAAGAGGTGTCGAGTGTTTCTCTGCTCTCCTCGTGCGGTGACCTCAATCTAAGCGTGAAATACCCTCTCCGTGACATCTGCAAAAGGCCAAGCGGCTGAAATACCCCGTGTGGCGTGTCGGGTTGTTTTCTTTTTTTTGTGGGGAAAAAAAGAAAAAAAAAAGACCCGCGTCACGTCGCATCCGCCACACGCCGGGAGCCCGGGAGGCGTCGACCGCTGACGGCTAACGGGAGCAGCCGCCGTCTCCCAGGTGAACTCATTTCAATTCACGGTTAGCGGGTTCGCTCCCAGCCGGATCGCACTCCGTCTCGGCCGGTCGGCCCCCGCGCGCGGTGACAGAACGCGGCGGGGCGCCGGCTGCCGCCGGGGGGGGGGGGGGAAACAACCGTCAGAGGCGAGTGAATGCCTCTCACGGCGTCTGCGTCGGTGCCAAAGCCCTGCCAGGGAAAACACTCGGCGACGCGAGAGCGTCTCTCTCCCCTGCGAGAGCCAATGGGTCCGGCAGCCAAAGGCGCCTCGCTGATAGGGGAGAGTGTCTCTATGGTAACGGCGGGAGGAAGGGAGCTGGTAAACACAGGTAAAAAACGGAATTTCCAAAAGGCCTGAGGCTTGATGCCAGGAGTGCGTCGGCGCTGTGTTCCGCCGGCGTTCATTCTGAGGAGGAGAGTCGGGGGTCGGCGGGCCGTCACCTCGATGCGGAGGCTCAACGTCCATCACACGTGTGTCATATTTATATGCGAACGTCTCAGCAGCCGTTGCTACTTTACGTCTATTTTGCATGTGATGTTTCACATTGATACAGAAACTAACTACTTTGACTCATTCTGAACCGTTTGAATATTACAACAATTGATGAAAAAGGAGAAAAATTGGATTTCCTGTTTTTATTCATTTTTTATTACCATCTAATAAAATAATGAAATTGCATATAGGATGCAGGGATGCAGTCACCAAAAAAAGGTGAATTTTAAGATTAGTCTTCCGTTGTTTTTGGCGGCTCAATACTTCCTCCGTAATACTTCATTACAACATGTAGCTGTGTCTTCTCTCGTATTACCCGGCTACACTGTGCTTCTACCGGAGCTGTTCAATCACAGACAAAGGGGGGGGGGGGGGATTTCCTGTGAGGCTCGTCCGCGGGCCCCCCACCTCAGGAGACGTGGGCGTAGCACGTGCACCGTAACGTGGACCCCGCTGATCAGGGGAGGTAATCAGCTGCCAACCGTCTTTGCAATCAATGCAACCCCGAATCCCCGAATCAGACAGAAGACGCGCGGATTCCCATCCGGCACATGGCGTGCATTTAATTCATTACATCCCCCCCCGAGTTGACCAAATGAAAAGAGAAATATTGACCTGTGTCCTTTTACAAGGATCCGTCGGGGTAACCGGATGAAAACTACGTGCCTGTTTTGAACTTCCAACCCTGATCCCCACCTCTTAGGTGGATTCCACCGTAGCTCTGGTGCTGAAAGGCACGGCCGTTATGAGACCCGTTGACAGAAGCGAGAGACCTGGTCCCTCCCTGAGGGACGCCTGGTCGGTGCCACGTCTCGGAGCTCTCGGGTGGGTTTTGGATTTGCAAAAGTCACCGTGATCTATAGCGCATGCACGCGTTGATAACAAGCAATCTATGAACCATCCGTCTCGCTACCCCCCCCAAAAATAAAAGCCTCCCCGTGTCCCCGTGTCGTGGAGGCCCATGACGGGCACGTCGGGCAGAAAAAACTCCCCAGGAGTTCACAGCTTTTGCGAAGGCCGTCTGCATCACAGCCGGGCTTAATGGAACTTAGACAACGGCGCGGATCCGCATTGTGCGGCGGATAATACGGCCTTTGTGCCGGTGGGGAAAAACACACTCTCTGAAACAGCAGCCGAGGAGCCGTCGCGCGGAAGCGGCGATGCGCAGAAAACACCCGCCCGCCTCTACAAGACAAGTGATGCTGCGAGTCACTCCTTTGAACACAATTGACCTCCATGTTTGAGCAGCATCACCGTAACCTTTTAATGATGAGTGTGTGTGTGTGAAACACTGGGGAAGCTTTTCATTTTAAGGACAGGACCACTGATCTACGGCATTAACAGGAGACTATTAATGAATGGGTGTTTTGAACCTAATGGACTGGTAATGATTACTCCAGAGTGGAGTTAAAAGCTGCCCCCCACACACACACACACACACCCTCCCTCTCGCTTCTTAAGACAGGGAGGAAGAAAAGCAAATAGAGAGACCTTCACAACGATGCAGACCCACCGGAGCTATTAGACGGCAGCTTCACGCTTCATAATGAAACGCTTTTCTGCCCCTTTTAATCTGCTGGATAATCAATATGAAGAGCAGAGGTGAATTACGGACTGAGGCTGCCGTTGCCGTCACTTAGGGACAAGATTATTCTAGTTGAGCGCCGCCTTTGTGAATCAGGGGGAGAGAGAGAGAGAGAGAGAGAAAGATGCACAAAGCGCACAATTGATTTATGAAACGCGGCAAGCATAACGTCTCAGCTGCAGAGAAGGTTCACATCACAGTCAGAACTAGAAATATTGAAAAATAGAACATTTTTTCATGACATTTTTATATTACATTATACAACATTTTGGAATCCAGAGTAAAGCACATCTTCCAACAAAGAAACTACAAACTACAGCTTCAGAGGCTCTCTGAGTGCCGTATTCTGCGTAAAATGACACGGCTTTAATGACAACTTCTCGCTTCTGATGCTTCTGATGCAATGCTCCTCTGATGCGCCTGAATTCTGTGTGTGTGTGTGTGTGTTGAAGGATGAGGGGCGTTCTGATCTTTCGACATGCACAGAGCGTTTAGAAACAAGGATCCGATCAGAAAAGCTCTCAGTGAGTCTGCAGGGATCTGGTTTCACACCGAGACAACTTGAGCTCTCCCACCTTGTGTTCCAGACATTCGTGTTGCACAGAGGGGAACTTTTGGCCACGTTGCAGATGTATATGACAATTCCTCTCAGGAAAAAAAAAAAAAGTAAAACAGATTTTGAGCGTTTACGACTTACATTTTACGTCAAAAATCCCCTCCTGCGCTGATATCTAAACCTGGATATCAACAGAACTTTATGTCCTCCCTCAACAAGGCTTATTCCGAATGATGCATCAACAAGGGTTCCGGATCAACAGGTGATCCGAGGAGCGCGTGACGCTTCTTCCATCCTTCTAAACCACATGTTGCCATTTCTACTAAAAAGATGCGGATCCAGCTCACCTGTGTCGTCCGGTGAGGAATGTGGGTTTTTTTTTGGGGGAGGGGGGGGGTTCTGCAGCTGCGTGTGTCAGAGTTGGTGGGAATCAGAGGTCGGGTCCCCGCGGCGGCAGCACGCGCCTTCCTTCCGTCCAACGAGGCGAATCAGCTCAGCGGCGACAGCAGCGCGCGGAGGCTTTTTCCTGCGATAGAAGACGGGCAAAGGCTCATTTTGGTGTTTCCAATTGCTTCCCGAGCTCAGGCGCCACCGATTGCCCGCCCAAATATGGTCATAGGAAGTGCACTTCACTGCCCTCGATTACTGTCGGACACATTGCAGTTCGAATTGACAGAACGACACAAACAAAATGTTTGGTCGGTTAAAAAAAACAAAAAGCAAATTCAGAGAACTCTTGTTTCTATTGTTGAAGCCAATGTTGGAAGATTAAACTTCCCCTTTATAGCTGTAATACAATATCGTAAATCACAATGGCCCTGCCGTAAATGTATGAATAAATATCTACCACATTAAGGATAACAATAAAATGAAAACAGATGATTTTTTACAAAGATGGGTTCTTCTGACTTAAAAATAAAAACATCCTGTCTGCGTTATAATTACTGAAAATACACAGCCAAACAAAATTGACTGATCACATGATTTGAGGGGGAGAAGGAATAAATAAACTACAGCACTCATACTGCAAAGATGTGGTACTCTTGGTATGAGCTGAAAAAAGCGAGCTCTTTGGCAAGAACAAGTTGAGAACAATATCAGCTTACTTTAATGTTAAGTAATACGTATCCATCTGTCCATATTATAAACAACGTTTTTATTAAAATAGCAATAAAACATTTCTGTCCCATGTTTCTGGAACAGTCGTTTTTTTTTTACCTCCGCCCAAGGCGCTCGAGTTTTACGACGTGCACATGAACGCATCACTTGACTGTTGCTGAGGGACGTCGCCGGGAAAGATGCCCGATGAACGCAGGGAGCAGGTTCAGCCGTCAGTCCGACGGAGATTCGTGTGCTTTTAATTTGTTCCTCCTAATGAGCTCATCCAGTGCTGTGATGGCACACTTTGATAGGGTCTAAATATGTTAATGGAATACTCGGGAGATCCAGAAGCTTTGCATATCCTGCACAGTGGCTCGATCTCATGTGGCAAAAGCAAAAATAAGCACAAACAAAAATTGTATTTATTTATACATACACATATTTCCCATTTTTCACAACGATGAAATGGAATTTCCTTAATAGCTGTTTCTTAATAACAGTGTTTTAAAGAAACATACACACAGACTCTTCCTTTGTTTTGTTTTTTACTGTGCTTAATGTTTAGTTTATGCATAACATTAAAATTACACGTTAATATTAAACATATTTTGCGGTATAATTTGGGTTTAAAAAGATGAGGTGATGGCTAAAAGCCTGTTGTTTCGTACTCACTATGATTTATGTTACCAGACACATTATTACATTTACATTTGAATGATTTCCTGTTGATTAATGGAGGACTACCATGGGCCTATTATGCAGATAATGGAAAGCGTTGTTTCCTTCATGTTGTTCCTTTACATTGTGCTAATTTGACTGCACCATGTTCTGCGTCAGTGCTTCATGGATGACCAGGCCATCTTCACACGTCGCCAATACGGTTGAGGACGATCATGATGATGATGATGATGATGATGATGATGATGGAAGCCCTTGTGTGATAGAGCGCCTCAGGCGTCTTCTCACTGGGAAGAGGATGTGCACAAATGCTTTAAATAGACACAGGAGCATCAATTATGTGCTTCTAGGGTAGAGGTGCGTCTAAGATCATTTCACACGCGGCCCTTATCGGGAGCGGGAGTCCCTCACGGTCCTGAAGCTTTCATTATGTGCTGGTTAAATCAATCAGTGAGAAATTAATTTTTTCAGAATTCTATAAACTCAATTTATTGGATCGGTTATTTGGAAAATAATAGAGTAAAGTAAATCCTTATTGCAAATAATGAAATGCTTTAAAAAAAAAGGGGGGATTTTGGAGCTCCCTGGCACCGCTGCGTGAAACAATTACGCAACACTTTAGCGGTACATTAGGCACACATTCAAGGAGATAAGAGCCACTGCTTTCTGCTCAAAGCCAATGCCATTAAAACGTGCTAATTGAAAAGGTAAAGGCTTGATTTGTTTGCTCTTCCTTTGACGTTTTCTCACCGATTCATATAAAAGGAGGGACGTTTATCTCGTGGCTCAATTAGAGTGGCTCCTGAAGAAAGAAGTGGACGCAGTGAGGGTGACATCCGTGTTTGATTCTACATTTAAGCGTCCACCTTTCAGGCCCAAATGTAGCTGCCTCATAAACAGACAGACTGGGTGAAAAACGACACCAGGAACGATCTTAAATCCTCAAAGAGACAAAGCAAAAGCTGGAGTCCATTCTAATATTTCAGCGAAAGGGAACAGACGGCTTTTCCCGTGTGGAGGGACGGAGCACATGTGACCCTCTGCCTTGTTACCATGGACACATCATTAGAGAAGTTCCCCAGCTGGCCCCGACTGCTCGTGATGACAGCAAGTAACAAGTGAAGGATTTAGTAATAACCAGAACTAAAGCCAAACGGACTCTCAAGTCCAACACTCAATCAGACTTAGATTACATCTTTTCTTTGTAGATTTATTTCTCCTTTTTTATGAATATGTATTTATACTCTGATGCAGTCCAATCCTATGAAAACTGCAGCTCCCATTGATGTCAAATCCCCCGTTTTCTCACTCTGAAATCGCATGCGTCTTCACGCCTTCACCCCTCCGGGTCATTCAGACGCTGTATTTGTGGTCTCTGCTGCAACTATGCAGGCGGTCTTTGTTCTCGGCGTACATGTGTGGCGTCCACCCCCCCACCGCATCGTCTCCCGAGTTGAAAGGCACACTGAATGCTTCCCGGTCACACCTTGACCAGCATTTCCCGCTCAGATCAATACAGAGTGCTGATCCTGTTGATTGACTGTGAGCTCAAACTGGTGCTTGCACATCGGACAATGGAGGCAGCGCCACGTTTCCATGGCTCACTCAGATTTGACCCGTTTGTTCGGTGATGAGCGGCAGAGAGACATTTTCAAATCCCAAAGTATTATGTTGAGGTTTATTGTTGAAGCTAAATCACAAATTTTCCTCTGAGAGCGTATAACGGCTGAAAGCATCCTCTGCCGCTGCGCGAGATAAGGAGCCTGGCAGTGGAGTGAGAGACTCCTGGAGAGAAGTTCATAATACCAGAAGAGACAGTGCAGCCACCCAGTGGTGAGTAGTGTGTAAGAACTCGGTCTCACACGACAAAACACGCTTTGAAAAAGATGCAGGGCTGATTTATCTGGATGCTTCTCAGGGATCCCAAACCACAGGCAGCCATTCCTCCGACGCATTGATCTCTGCGCGTGTGCCAACTGTTGATGCCACCCCGCCGTGACATCAATCAGAGGTGCATTTCTGCACAATAAAAGCGTGTGCCAATCAGTGGGAGTGTTTACAGGATACAGCTCACTCCATCAGTGAGAACAAGAAGCTAATCAGCACAACACAGAGCATCTGCCACTCAAACATCTACAGTATTATCTCCAGAAAATGTGCTGTTCAAAGCCGACAACACCTCACGTTTCACGTGACATGCTCAGACGCATAAATAAGGATGAAAGTAACGATAAATCAACAGCAGCAGGATGTTAAACATTGTCATATTAAGGCAATAAATACAATGTGTTGTATCCTGTCTCTATTATGTGGGTTGGGTAGTATTCAAAGTATATTCAAAGTTACAGATATTACTTTAAGAATCTATATAGTATATATAGAATAATTTATAGATGGTACTAATAAGAATGGAATGTTTCTACACATTTCTTCCTCAAAGCAGTGCAGCCGTAAAATAGAGAATAGGTTGCTTTATTAATCAGTACGCACACCTTAATCATTGACCATTAAAATGGCTAGGTCTACATTCATTTTATTAAGAAAAAAACTGGAGAAAGTAAAGCGCTCCAGCTGCAGTACTGCCAGGCTACCGTTCCCCCGCCCGCCCAGTAGGGGGTGCCGGTAAATCAGCTCACCAGCTGCCAAAACAAACCACAGCAAAGAAAAAAAGGACGAAGAAGAAGTAGCATCATCCTGCTGTCGGGTTAGCCCCGGATTAGCCTCTAAATATGTGACAAATGCGAGGTTAACCAAATGTCGGACTCACTCTCAATTTCAACCGGCATGACCTGCAAACCATGGCGAACCCTCAGTTTCCGGTGAACATGGACCTCTTGGCCGAACCGGTCGCCCGTTGTCTCTGCTGCTCGTGTTGTTATTGTAGCTAGCGCTAGCGTTAGCTACGTGGCTAACCCCGCTTCACTTCGCTCCCGAGGTAAGCCGAAGGTTGGTTCGTCGCGGTCGGCCAGTGAACCGCAACGATAACAGACCGCAGCGATGTTTGTGTTACGCTTCCTAAGAAGTAATTACGTCGGGTAGTTGGCCGTGGACATTTCTGTCTTTTTTGCCACGGCCGCAGGGCACGAAATGCCGACGTTATCGGATAAGTGACTTCACGCATCGGAGTCACGGCTGCACGCTTCGGAAGAAGACGCCTCCACGGAAATGGCTCCGCCGGCTTCGGCCGCCCGGCGCACCTGACGTCGCCAGCACCCACCGCTGACTCGGGGTGTATCGAGATGGAGCGGCAGAGAGCGGCCGGGCAGACGAGGGCTCCCCTTCTCCGCGGCGCGTACGTCTGAGCCAACCATGTCCTGCAAAGCGGCGACCAAGGACAAGAAGTCGAGCTTCAGCAAGAAGCTCTTCCGGCGAGGCTCCGTCCGCTCCGTGGGCAGTTTCATGAGCAGGGTGCTGAGGACCCTGACCGCGTTATCTACCTTCGGATCGGAAGCGCCGGCCGACGAGGACAAAGACGATGGAGGGTTTTCCACTTTCAAACCGGGGTGCAAAGACGTGCCCATGGACGGTGGCGACCTCGCGGGGTTCCTGTCCGGGGAGAGGGTCCCCGGAGTGTCGGGCCTCAAAAACCACGGGAACACCTGCTTCATGAACGCGGTCCTGCAGTGCCTGAGCAACACCGAGCTCTTCGCGGAGTACCTCGTCCTGGAGCACCACAAAGGCGACGAGTCGGACGAGGGCAAGCCGCCGGCCAACGGCGTCCACCTGCAGAAGAAGGGTCCTCTGTCCAGGGGAGAAGTCACGGAGCAGCTGTCGGGACTCGTGCGGGCTCTGTGGACGTTCGAGTACACCCCGCAGCACAGCAGGGACTTCAAGGTAAGCGCGCGATCGGAGTGGAGACGGCGGCACTTGACGTGACGTTTGACCGGTGCCGGTGACGCGTGGCCCGTTTGTTGCAGAATGCGGTGTCGAAAAACGCCACCCAGTTCAAAGGGAACGCTCAGCACGATGCGCAGGAGTTTCTGCTGTGGCTGCTGGACCGAGTGCACGAGGACCTCAACACGGTCAACCCCAACATCAGGCCGGCTGTAAAGGTATTTATCAGCCTGGAGTGAGTTGTTATGGGCGTCTGTTGTTGCACTGTTTTATTGAAAAGCATGGCCCTGTGCTCCTTTTTTCATATCTGGGAAGCTCCAATAAAGTTGTTCCAGGACTTTTTACCTGCATTGCATTACAGCTCTCGGGTGTTTACAATGATTCTGGTCCCTGCAGTCACATTCCTGGTGATGGAGACGCGCCCCGTCTTGTTTTTCCTCCCCGTGGCTCGGATCTGAACCCGGTGGTAGTAATTAAGACTTGTAAATCTGACCAGTAAAACCTGTTTGTGTTTGTTCAGCCACCTATTGAAGAAGACGATCAAAGCTTGGAGGGGCCGTCCCCCCCCCTCTCTGCCGGCTCTTTTGTACAAGAACTATTTCAGGCTCAGTACAGGTACATTTAATATTGAATGATACTTTAAATTTTTTTTTTTAATTTACCACTCCGGCCATATCATCCATAATCTTTATGCCCAACAGGTCTTCTCTTACTTGTCCACATTGCCAAAAGCAGAGCAACACGTTTGATCCCTTCCTCTGCATCTCCTTACCAATCCCACTGCCGCACACCCGGTGAGTCACGAGGGGTCACCGTCTTTCCACTGAGATAAATGTGAGCCGCGGCTTCAAAGCAGCAGCAGCAGCAGGGTAGAGGACGCTGTGGGAGTGTTTTTATTTGTGCTAACTGTTTCTGCCAGGCCCCTGTATGTGACGGTGGTCTACCAGGGGAAGTACTCCCACTGTATGAGGATCGGAGTTGCTGCTCCGCTCAACAGCACCGTCTTTCGCCTCAGAGATGCCGTGTCACGAGAGACCAAGATCCCGACGGACCAGGTACTATTCCTGTCTCGTGTCAGCTTAGGGTCTCCCAGTGAGCTTAGCTCACTGCTCCTGGAGCCGCAGGTTCTCATAAAGCCACCTCGATTAACATGGTGGGCTTAAACAGAGAGCCGACAGCTCGGGGCTCTCCTTGTTTAAAGCGGCAAGGATGAAAATCACAACAAGAGTCAAATCAACTGCACTCGCCATTTCTGAATGTGCTCCTTTCTTCTCTTTCAGTTCGTTTTGACTGAAATGTACTACGATGGTTTTCATCGTTCATTTTGCGATGATGATGATGATCTTGACATCATTCAAGAGAGTGATTCTATATTTGCCTTTGAGACACCAGAGACCTTCAAACTGGAAAATATACGCACGAAACGAGGTAAATTGAACGTACTTATTTTTATTTTTTTTACCCACATTAAATGTATGGAGGGAGGTCTTGATTCGTTCGTATCTTTCACAGGAAGTCTTCTGGCAAACCTGAACCATAACAACTTAAAATATGGGACAGAAATCAGCAGGACTTCATCTTTCATGCAAGGGGCCGTGACCCCTTTGACTGCGTCACCCAATAAAAACCTGGGACCAGAAAAAATGATCCTCCTGGTGTGTAACAGAGCTTGTAGCGGCCACCAAGGAAAGAGGTACTTCAATCTCATTGCTATGTCTGTAAATATGGGGGAGCAGTGTGTGTTTGTCCTTTCCATTTTCCACAACGAAGCCAATGAGTTAATGGGCCATGATGTTGTTTGTGGCCCCCCATGTTTCCTGTTGAAAATTACAGCTGATGATGATACGCACTCGGTGTCGTTTTAGATTCGGCCTGCCGTTCGTACTGTACATGGAGCGCACTGTGACCTGGGACGCTCTGCAGAAGGAGATCCTGGAGAAAATGCGTCATCTCCTGAGGCCAGGGGTCTACATTCAGGTAGGAAGAAGAACAAACACGCTGATACTGCAAACAGTAAGCCAAACGATTGGCTATTATAATGTGAGCCTCCATTACTGTGAAATGTCACGCCGGTTGTTTTTCCTCATTAAACCTCCCCAACTATGGTGTCTCTGCGTAGGTCGGACCTTTCAGTCTCCGCGTGGTTGGCGTTGTCGGTATCACCTACCTCCTTCCACAAGATGAGCGACCACTGTGTCACCCAACCGTGGAAAGGTCAGTTCTGTTAGTTACAGATGTGTATATCACATTGGGGTTAATTATGAATGATATGTCATTAAGTCTTTTACACACACACACACACACACACAATTCAACTCTTTGGAAGCTTTGTTTCCTTTGTCGTCATCCTGACATCTTCCTAGCAAACACTCTACACATGCACAACATGTTAAAGGCAGGTGTGACCGTAGGTGACGGGGTGAGGTTGATATGACATCATCGGGTCAATCGCGCACCCCCCCACCCCCCCCACAGGCCTGCCCCGCTGTGCTAACGTGTTCCAACTTGGTTTTAGCTCTTTGTTAAAGTGCCCGCTCAGCACGTTTGGCTCCTTTCACACAGACGTTCCCAAAAACAAATCAAGTCACGACATTGTTTCTCAATAGAGGTGCATGAATCAAAGTCAAATAAAAAAAATGTTTGGCATCACTGACTGATCGATTAGCTTCTTACTTGACAACCAAAATCTCTGTGTATGTTTCACACGCAATTCCATAACCGCAGATTAATATTTCATCTATATCTGCTCTTTGAGAGTAGCTAAATGGTTTAACTTCCTAATAAACCATCTTCTAAAGACATTTCCAACACACTGAACATCTTGTATGTGACATTTACAGTATGTTGCACACAACTCTTTTTCTCGTAATGGGGCTCCGGTGACATAAATGAGGAAGTATGAATGTCCCCTGCCCAAATCATTGTTTCCACTACAGAGCATACAAGTCCTGTGGACAAGGGGGGCCACCACACGTGAAGATTGTGGTTGAGTGGGACAAAGAGACCAAAGACTAGTAAGTGCAAAAGATTAATTATTACTGTTTATTTTATCAAACCTTTGTTTGCTGAGATCTTCCTTGGAAACAAGGAGTTTGCTGGGCTGCACATGCAGATCACTTTAAAGCAGGGCTCCCATCAGAAACTATAGTCAAACACTTCATTAGAATAATTTAAAGAAATTAAACAAGCAGAAATAAAACCAAAAGTGAACTGCCAACTTCTGATCGTTGATTTATCAACCATAGAATAAGCGTGCTCACACGTCGCAGCGTCTTCACCTGCCAGGCAAGGAAACGGTTTGGCAGTTTAAGGTGAGGCCCAAATCTCAATAAACTTGAAGGTCACGGTTATTGCATTATGCAGGAACTTGATTAAACCACCTGACAGGCCATGACCCCCTTCATAGTGCTTCTGCCATTCACATTGTTTTGCCTTTGGAAACTGAAATTGCTTCATCTTTCATGCTGATCGTGGTCTTAATTTGAACCACGATAAACACCAGACCTCTTATTTCCTCACTTAAGCCAAACACAACATGTGGTTGAAACGTATACACACGCGGTGCGGGTCAAATGGAAGTCTTTTACTCGCAAGTCACGTAACTTTCCAGTTTGTCCCGCGCAAACGTCTTTGGCAAACTTGTGGAGGAAAATCCCTGCGGGGCATTTTAGTGATACCCAAACCCGTACTTAATGTTTGAATCTGATCTCAGCCCCTTTCAGTGCTGCAGCGCCCCTCTGCATGCTCAAAGTCCTCTACATTCCCTTCGAGTACGACTCGGTCAGATTATCGTGATGTGTCAGACTGGTTCATCCGCTTCAAGTATTGAATTAGTTTACTGATGAGCAAAACGTTCCAGCAGACGGTACGATCCTCTCGTGACTCTGAGCCGTGCTCCTTGCTCCCACAGTCTGTTCGGGCACACCGAGGAGGAGTACATTCCCGATGCGGAGAGCGTGTATCTGCACAGGGAACAACACCATCAGCCTCAGGCCTGCACCCTGGCGCAGTGTTTTCAGCTCTACACTAAGGAGGAGCAGGTAAGACGTGCGGCGGATTGCTGCTCAGTCAGTAGTTTGACATTCGAGAATGCATCGTACGCCGGTGGGAAATAGAAATCTGAGTACAGCCTCACCAGTTTATCGTTCCTCTGCTAGGGTTGAAGAAGCACAGCGCTACATATACACTGTGGTTTTAGCGGCCCGCGATCGCTCTGCAGCAGAAAGGGGGGGAGAAACTGAGCGGTGTGGTTGCTGTGTGTTTGTTTCAGCTGGCCCCAGACGATGCCTGGCGCTGTCCCCACTGCAAGCAGCTGCAGCAGGGCCGCATCAAGCTCAGCCTGTGGACGCTGCCCGACGTGCTCATACTGCACCTCAAGAGGTTCCGACAGGTAATCGAGCTCAACCGAACGCCGCTCACGCAGACGGGCGGAACCGCAGCCGCTGTCGGTATCGAGAACAAACAATTTTTATTTTGCTCAAAGACGTCGCCTTTCTCTCTGTGTCTGACGTTTTGTAATGGCCGACGGCTCGAGATTTTACCTTTTTATATCTGCTAAAGCCGAAATGTAAAATAGAAAGAGCTGGCGTCAGATATGCGCGGTGGCTGTGACGTGCAACAGAGGCCCGCTGATGTGTTTTAATATGTCGGCCTCTGTTCCAGGACGGCGATCGCAGGGTGAAGATGCAGAACATGGTGAGGTTCCCGCTGATGGGCATGGACATGGCACCTCACGTGGTGAAGAGAAGCCAGAGCAGCTGGAGTCTACCCTCCCATTGGTCGCCGTGGAGACGCCCGTACGGGCTGGGAAGAAACCCCGATGACTACCTGTATGACCTTTACGCTGTGTGCAACCACCACGGGAACATGCACGGAGGCCACTACACAGGTGATACCAAGATCCGTGCCGCTATTACACGATGCATGCCGTCAAAGAGCGGGGGATGTACTCATCAGCCATGTGAACCCCTTCGCTCCCTCAGCCTACTGCAAGAACTCCATCGACGGTCAGTGGTACTGCTTCGATGACAGCGAGGTTTCCCCAGTAGCCGACGACGACGTGTGCCAGCAGACGGCCTACATATTGTTCTACCAGCGGAGGACCGTCATCCCCTCCTGGTCGGCCAACAGCTCTGTCGCCGGTCGGTATTCTTGGCAACTCTTGATGTGTAGTTTCATCGCAATATATCTGCGTGAGCACGGCCACAGCACCAACGTGACAGACGGTTTGCATTTGAATACGGTGCCTGTGAAGCCGGAGACGAATGTTTTGGTCCGTTTCCGCAGGTTCCACCAGCTCTTCCCTGTGTGACCACTGGATCAACCGCTTACCTGGCAGCCGGCCTGCCAGCCTGGCCTCTGGCGCCTCCTCCAGGCGCACCTCTATGGCGTCGCTGGCCGAGTCCGTGGAGTTCCCAGTAGAGCGCAGTGAAGATGACGGTGAGAGTCGGTTTACTGGCTTACGGTTGCATTTCTTTGTTTTTTTTTCCATCACGTATGAGCAGTGATGACTTGAAACTGGACTTTTTATTTTTAATTCAAAAGACTGAAACAGATAGAAACCCCCAAACCACACTTCGCAAACCGTCAGGTAAAGAACGTGAGAAAAAGACACCGCTTCACTTTTTTTGAAATTGTCCTACATGTTTCCATTGGAATGAAAAGATACCGCCTAAGTGGTAAGATTACAGGATCATGATGACCGCGGGAACAGGACCCTCTGACACAGGGAGTGGATCCACAGCAGGGGGGCGGGTGCCTGTAAAAGTAGGCCCTGTTCAACCCTGCGGAGTACAGACAGTAAAGTCCCCAAAATAAATGTTGACACGGGAACCTTCGCCCACATCATCATTACTTCTGCTGCCAAATTCTGTATTTAGCTTTAGTAACCATTTCTTTCCAGCTGATCGGAAAGAAACCTGAGAACTAGTTGTCAGCCGCATAAAAATCTACCCGGAGAAACTAAGAGTTGAAAGTAGTAGTGGAAGATGAACTAAAGCCTGCGGGCGAAGCACTACGGGTCCTTTCACCCAGGGTGGTTTCACAACACTGAAAACTTACATTTCATTTGAAGTTAAGACATCGGCACATGCCACAAAAACCAGATTATCTGGATGGAATGTGATCATAGATCCAGGAGGAACCAGAATGTCCCGGTTTTCCTTGTTAAAAGGCCTCATTGGCCAAGAGGAGAAATGCACCACGCGGCTCTCAATTCTTAATTACAAGTTAATTAAGAAAAGTGGACAACAGCAGGTTGACTGACAGACTGCTATGTTTGCCAAAGCTATTTAAACGACTACATGTGGTCAAATACAATTGTCGTGAATGTATTAATTGTCTCTTATCTGAAACCTTTCTTGGTTCCAGGGGGCTTTTCCATCCGCCCCTTTGTGCGCAGCATTCAGCGGCAGAGCGTGTCCTCCAGGTCGTCCGTCGCCAGTCCTTTAGCCTTCAACGACAGCGGCATCAAACCCTCCTGGTCCCTCTCTGCCAAGCTGCACATGAGATCCAACTCGCCCTCCCGCTTCTCCCTGGACTCCCGCTGTTCCCCCCCTCTGGAGAGGATAGGCGAGGCCTGCGATGACAAGGTGTCCACGTCCTGTTTCGGCAGCTACAGTAAGCATGAGCGCTACTTTGGCAGCAGGACCCCCCTGTCTATGATGGAGGGCAACTTCGGCGACCAGGACAACGGCACGCGGTTCCTCGACATGATGTACTGCAGGGCTCCCACTCCGGTGGAGAAGAAGGGCGCCAAAAGCGAGGCGACCGAAAACAACAACCAGATAACGGCGATCGACCAAAACGTGGTACCCGCCCAAGCTGCTCCCTGCAAAGAGCCCAAGCGGAAAAGCAGCACCGGAGGACTTCTTGCCTCGAAGGCAGAAAACTCGGGCTCCTCAAAGAGCTGCAGCAAAGCGGAGCAGGAGAAAACCTCCAAAAAACGCCTGTGCTCCGCCCACAAGAGCTGCGCCGCTGAGACGTCCTACGGTTCTCCTGTGAAAGGCAAAAAGGAGAGCGTCCCCAAAGGAAAGACCGCCAACGCCAAGAAAAACACCTCCACGCCCTGCGGGACGCCCTCCAAAACCAACAAGGCCCCGCCTGGCGGCGACGCCGCCGCCCCGCGCAAGCCGCTGGTCCGCTCCACCCCCCAGTCCTCGGCGTCTCCGTCGCCGACCGCGAAGAAGGAGCCCGGCGTCCCCGACAGAAGCTCCACGGGCCGGAGGCGGCTGGTGGAGAGGAGCTGCAGCAGGGACTCGGTGCACGCCAGCCCCCAGGCCGACGGGCTGCGGGGCAGCCCGCTGTCCCGCGCCTCCCTCTCCAAGAGCGGCGAGGGCGCCCGGCCCGAGAGGAGGTCCGTGAGGAGCTCCAGCAGCAGCTCCTCCGTCACCAGCCTGCGCTCCCCCAGCGTCTCCGCCAGAGAGGCGCAGCGCGGCGGCAGGTCGGAGGAGAAAGGCCTGTCCTTCTTCAGGAGCGCCCTGCGGCAGAGGGAAAGCCGCCGCTCGGCCGACCTGGGAAAGAGCGCCCTGCTCGGCAAAAAGGCCTCGGAGAGGACGGGCAAGCAGAGCGCGCAGGCCAACGAGCTCGACGGCGGGAAGGCGGGAGTCGCCGCGTCCCCGCTGACCCCCGCAGGGACTCGTGGCGGGGGGACAAAGCCGGGCACAAAGGAGGCTTCCAAGCCCCCCGGCTCGCTCAGTCGCACTCTGTTGAACGTTGGCAAGTCCAAGTCTTCCACGTCCGAGCTAAGTCTCAAGCCTTCCTCCAACGGGAAGAAGCCCCCGGAAAGGACGGCGTCTTCCCGGAAGCTGTCGTCGAGCACGCCGTCTCCTGCGCGCGCAGCCAAGAGGCCTCAGTGAGAAAACCTCAACATGATGCAGCTATTTTCTTTGTGCCTCGGTTCCAGCGAGCACCGGACGTGTTTGTAGAGAGACGCACTTCTGACTGGGTGCTTTTGCATCAGCTCTGAGGTCTGGATATTGAGTTTTCTCCTCCGTAGCAAAGCGCGGCGCATCGTCCGCATGTTTAGGTGGCAAACGGGCTCCAGTTTTTAAAGCTGCGCCGATGGTTACCAGCAGGTCTGGGTGTGATGGGACGCTCGCTGTGTTAGATGGTACCGACCTGCCCGTCGGACCGGAGGCTTGAAGCCGAATCTTAAAATCCCATTATCTTTCCTTCAGACCTGACGCTTGCTATGTGCTTTTTTTGAAAAGCTGCAGGCATTAAGTTTAAAGAGGTTAACGGGGTTAAGTCGCTCCGTTTGCCTCTCTGCAGATGGGTGGGTGTCAGTAGTGTGACCTCACAGCTTTTTAAAGGCATTTAAAACTCCTCGTTAGCAGACGGTCTCTGGACAAACACTGAAACTGGATAAATGCTCACGCACTCAAATACAAAAGAGTTTGGTTACGTATCGATTGGTGCAGAGCACTCGCGGTAGTTCTCTCTGATCCCTTTCTGCATGCAGCCCATGCATTGGTTAGTAGGTAGCGTGTCCAAAGCTAAGGAGGGAAAGACTTGACGTCCCGTAAGAGAAGACAAATAACAGATCATTTTAGTCTTCCTAATTAGTAACATAAGAATAATATAGATAGAGCGGCTCGGACCAAAGCGATTAGAGTTGGTACTCGCATTAAGACAGCTTTTCCAATCTTTTAAGACTTTATTTTTGTTGTATATTAGTACTTTTTTTGATAGAAATGTATTTTATCAGACACTACTTTTTTCTCAAAGGGAAGTTGTGTTTTTGGAATGAAACCCTTTAAAGTCAAAGTGTATATAAATATATCTTTGCAGGCATTGACTGAATATATCGAGTAAAACCCATTTCTTTCTTCCACGACCGAGATGAAAATGATCTTAAGCGCCTTTTAATTCTGTACATGGAAACAAATTTCCTCCGGCGTCATAGTAGTCCACTACTGTGTGCATCACTTGGGAATGTTCTATTCTTCGCACTTTCTATAGATACGGTAGCGTTTCTTTTATATACACGCACACATTAATCTCATTTTGGACATATCGCTGAGTCGTGTCACCCGGCCTCAGACTTGAAATGGCAGACGGGTTCGTCCCAGAAGTCCACCGTCTCTGTACAGCTGTGGGTGGACCGTGCAGATGCTGGCTGGTCTTTGTCCCTCTGCCGCCGATGCTCGCTGGCCGCGTCGCTGTACATTTCCCCCTCATGCAATAGCAATATCCATTCATCCGACACCAGCACAGAGCGTGTTCTCAACCAATGAATGAATGTGGCTCTGCCATTAGTAAGTGCGTCATACTTTAACATCGTCTTTGACTTCTAGATCTGCAGCATTTCTCTAAACCGGCTCTCTGTAGCATCTACCAAGTTTACATGTTCTCTCAGATGGTTTCAAATCGAACACGCGCTCCGATGTTAAACGTGCACGTATGTTGTTAAAGTAGCCCGTCGGTAGAGATTCACATGGAGCAGTTTGTCAGTGGCAGCTAAATATGCTGACATGTTCGAGGCGAACTCTAACCCCCGTTGTTTAAAGGTGCCGTTAAGCGGCTGGAGCACTAATTTGGCCGTAGCAGACGTGAACGAAGACCCGACGCGTTCACTGTCTCCCAAACCCTCCCGGGACTTTTTTTGTGCCCATCGCTGAGGCGTAGCGGCTGCTGTGTTCAAGCCGCCCTGGACCATGTGACCACGTGCTGCGGGGTTAAATGCGGGGCGGTTCCTGTAGCTGCTCTTTTCTACTTTAATCGATCAGGAACTCGTGCACTTGGGATCAAAGCAGGAGGATTTCACGTCATTGTTTGCATCGTTTCCGTCGTGCGTTTTTAAGGCTTCGCCGTGACTTGTTGGTCCGTCTCGGGCCGTCTCTCGTAAACAAAAAGGACGACAGCAGTGGTTCTCCACATTAGTTATTAAGATATTAAAGGGGTCCGACTGGACTTCTGGTGGCACTCGTGACAGAACTTGGAGCTGAACCCGCGTGTTGAAGCTGCTTTCTGTTTTTCACCCATGACTTTTTGTCATGTGTTCATAGCCGCCACATTGCCTACGTTGCTCTTTGTGTGTGTGTGTGTGTAGTACGTATGACCTGTATCATGCATCAACCTGTATCATGCACAGGAACATTAGAAACAAGCTGAAACAAGACCAGAGACATTCTATAGCGCATCTAAATATGTCCACCGTGTAGAACATATAAGAAAAATGAATCAAGGCATTTACACAATCACTTCTCCTTTACTGCAGTTTTTTGTCGATGTAGAGAATGCGAATGATTAAGGAATGCAGTTTTGCATGCTGACATAATGCATGTATTTCATTAACTATGCAAGACTCTGCAGCGTAGAGAGCAGAGCAGCCTGTTGTAGCCCATTGCTTCATTTGCACACATTTCCAATGTTAAGAATTTGTCACTTACATAATATTAACTGTACAGTTAAAAAGATTCCACCATAAAAAAATGTATATACGCGATGCCGTCATTTCTTTTGTTTTTGTAATTCTGCTGATCTGGGTGCTCCGACCTCACAGGGACGGTTCTGACTTTTTGTTTTGCTGTTGAACACCAGCAGAGACAAACATCATGTATGTATATGTATGTTTTGTGAGGAAAAAGGCTCCGTTAATTCAATTTGTTGAACAGTTTGTTGAAATGTTCTTAGCTGCATCAAAGATCAGCTTGTCTTCACTATAGAGGCCACTCAAATAAATAGATACACATATGTATGCAAATGTTAAAGGCAATAATAGAGAACATTTAGTTTTGTATTCGAGGATGTAGCGAACAATCACATGGAAATGTTCAGTTAAAACATTTCGGTATTTATGCCGAGTCGATCATTGCAATCATGACTCTTTATTGAAAACAGGCAGTGTGTCAGAAAACAAAGGACCACTATTTTTATTTTGAACTGGCTCCCTTTGTGTGTGTGCGTGTGTGTGTGTGTGTGTGTGCCCATGCGTAATCCTGCACATTGACTTATAGTTGTGTAGTTTTACAGAGTCACATCTCTTTCAAGGCGAAACTATGACAAATGACATTATCTGCAACACGTTTTTGTAATTTTACCACTTTACCAATCAAAGTTGCAATAACCACTGAAACTGAAATGCCCGAATCCTTCAGCTTCTGCCGGTACTCTGGTGCTTCAGCAATACAGCTGCGCGCTGTCGTTCATATTAAACACTACAAACGTATCTTACTGAAACCTTTCAGCAGCCTTAAGCAGAACAAACCGTAACGGATAGTTTGTGTGTTTGGAGCTGAGGAGCCGCGTGATGAATGAATGTCATGAGTCTCATTTTAACGTTCCCTCAGCTGATAAAGAGCAACACTAGTGCTGCGTGCACAGCACGCCTCCACGTTGACCTTCTTTTACTCGTGATTGTATCATTCTAAAAGCATTTTGTAAAATACACTGCGTTGCATTTCTTGAGATTGTTTTCACGAATGAATCCTGTTTTACTGTATTTCATTTCATCTTTGTTTTATAATCTTTTTGTCTTTTAAGTGTTTGACATTCAATAATTCATTCGGATAGGTCAAAAGCTTCTGTTATGTTAATTTATTTGTCTTGTTGTCAAAGCTTGTCATATATGCACTTTTACATTTTTTTTTCCACCAAAAAGGACTAATGTGTAAATACTTTGTTGTTTTATCAATACAAGTATAAAATGACGAATCGTATTAAAAATGTGTAAAATTGGAGTGGTTTCTTGTTTGTGTTGGTGCCCTAGTTCAGCCACTAGAGGGCGCCGTCCTCTAACAAACAACAGGCCCCTTTTGGGTTCATTCACAGAATGTGAATGTTGCAGCAATAGCATTGGAGCTACGACGCTGTGTGTCATCATTCCCAGACTTTAGGTTGTCTGATGGCAGAGAAGCCGACGACGAGTGAATCCACGCTTTTGTTTTCTGGTGTCAGGCGGTCTGTCGCTGCTGCAGCACGAGACGCATCTTGAGGGCGTTTTTATTTTCCATGTGCAAAGATCCTCCTTTCATCCTGTTGGGGTCCAAGCAAGTATGAACACACAGATGCAGCGCTCGTTGTCTCGTGCTGCAGAGCTCGAGGCGGCCTCCAGTCGTCGGGGACGGGATGATTATTTTGAGCTTTTCTTCCCAGGTTTAAGGTGCTGAGATGTGCAGATGCAAGCACGGCTCAGTTTCTAACTGAAAAAGGGACAACCAGTCATGATATTCAAGCAGCAGTGATTCATCAACTGCTAATTCTGTAATTCATTCGTGCTTTAAATGTAGAAAACGACAAGTGAACAGGGCAGCACTTTAGTAACCGGTAGTTACTAAACATTATTTCCCCTTTTGAATGTCGTAGAGTACAAGTACAAGCTCTACAGGTATGTGACCATGTGATCTGACCCACATGGATCATTGCAGCATCCGTCATCGTCTCTCCTGTCAAGCGTCTGACTCAGCAGGTCGTCTCAGAGCAGCTGTTGGGACCAGTTTAAGGTCTTTCAGTCCCACTCTCTGGATTTCTGAATCAGCGTGCTGGTTCGTGCCGAGCAGACAGCTCTCGGCTGAGATTTCCCCCCCAGTCCCCCGTGAATCATTCACGGAAGCCTCCTGGTAGGCAGAGGACGCCGTTCTCACTCTCCATCGCTTCTCAATGGACTCCAACCAGCATGCGGCTCCTCTCTCTCACGATAGGATCAGTCCCCCCGAGGCACCGCGGAGTTACTTTAGCAATTCGCCCGTGGTTTTTATCTCCTTTGTGCCCTCTTTTGACTCCACCTCAGAGAGTGCGGAAAAATCAATAGGAATTGATTTCAGGAGGCCGGAAAGAGCGGTTGGACTTGGGAGGGAAGAACCGGGGGAAGACAGAGACAGAGAGGCACTCGCAGAGAGGTGCAAGACCCCGAGCGTGATATGCATGTGCTGGCACAGCTAAAGGTCACCGACACCAACCTGCCTGTAGCGACAGATTACGGGGGGGGGGGGGGGGTCTCGGCCCGGCGGCGAGCCTGAGATAAGAATAATGGCGCCTGAGAGCCTCTTAACTGCGAGTCATTTGGATCCATTAAGGAGGCGGTGGGCCGCGTTGGAATGCGGCGGTGCACTTTACGTGAAATGATTTTCCTCCAGACCGTCTCCTCGAGGCAGGCCGATTGTTGATGGTCACACTAATAAGCACTGCAAGCTTTGGTTGAAGATGATGTGGTGGGATCTGCTGCCCCCTCCCCCCCCCCCCCTCCGCGGTAGAATTAGAAGCAGCAGACCTTCCCAGGTTTCCATGGGTCGGCTGGATCGTTAGATAGATACCCCCCCCCCCATCAGTGGCGCAGGAGTATTTCTTTTATTGAGGTTTTTATTATTCCCTGCTGCCATTTCCTGTTGTCCTTTTATCTCGTGGCCTGAGACAAAGCAAGATGAGCAGCGAGAGATATCGTCACTCCTCCTGATATCGATCAGAGGCGCCCGCACGGTGAGTTGATTTTAATATAGATGCACACGCAGCAGGACGTCCAACGCCGATGCTGCACACCTTTATATTTCCCTCTCCTAAAAAAAGACAGTGCTGATAAAACACACTTTGTCCGGCGTCCCGATAGTGATCTGAGGAGTTAATATCGCTGGGGGGGGGGTCACGCTCCCCTTTAGTGCCTGTGCGCATCTGTCATCACATACGCTGGAAATTAAAGTTCAATCCATCACAGTAATGTACTCACAACGTGATGCGTTAATATTGTAACATATCGGAATAATTTAATCAATACATCCCCTCGTTAGTGAATGATTAATATGTTAAAGGCTTCAGATGCAGCAGAATGTAATCATAACACAGTGTACATTGGTTTTCGCTGTAAATCAGAAGCATTTTACACCTTTTATGGATCAAATATCCCGTCATCTGCTTTTTCCCGTGGAAGTGGGATGAAAATCAGGCGTGACCGGTCAGCGGGTCGATCCCGGAGTCCTTCATCAGTGGAGTCCGGGGATGAAGGCGATCGTACCGGGGGAAAGCAAGCGGAATAACAAGGAGAAGAAGGGACCTTGTCTGCTCGTCTTACCTTAGCGGATGGAGACTCTTCTCTTTGTAACAACAAGCCAATCAAGAAAAACTTTACCGGAGAGCGAAAGCACCTTATTGCCTGAGAGAAAAGGGTGAACTGCTGCTGATTTAAAGAGGCAACACAAGTCTGGAAATGGACCCGGCAGACCATGAACTGGGATAATGGGCCTAGCAGGGAGCCTCGGTCTTCTCATTCCAAAGCTTTCCACCACCTGTTTGAATTGTTCTACTCCTTTTGCTGGGAAGAGGCAAATCTGTCAAGGTGATACACGAGCCAGCTGGTCGAGGGTGAGATGCTCTACGGGTGAATGGGTGAAGTTCTCACCCTGACCTTTGTAGATGTTTATGTGCACGTTATTGGATTCTAAAACTATGGGGGGGGAGAAAAAAAAGATAAAATTGCATGGCTCTTTTACTTTTCCGCAGGAGCAAAAGGTCTGAAGGATCCGTATTTCATCCAGGCGTCCGTGCTCGTGAATCTTCTTTATCGTGATTCATGGCTTCGGGAGGACAGAAGCTAATGCGGATACAAAGCCAGATGCACGCATAATCTGTTTCGCCGTTATTTATTCATGAACGAATACCCTCCCACTGCAGGAACACGTCCCCGGGCTCAGGGAAATGGCCCAATGTGTTGTGTTAAGCTTGGTTTGGGATTCTTTATTGCACGTCATATCTCAGAAAGTGGCCCTTTGTCACTGGACAGCTGAGCCTGTGGAGCCGCTGCCATCCACACACCGGCGTTCTCACCTGACGTCTCGAAGTTCTTCTGTCGACATCACGACCGTAGCGTAGAGCTCCTTTAATGACCACGATGCCTCCACCCAGGTTCACACTCTGCACCGCAAACTTAATCCGCACTCAGTCGTCACGTTCCTGCAACAATACTTCTGTCCACTTGGGAGGGGGGAGAAAAATACATTCAAAGCTCCTTTCCGTGAAAACGCAATGTGACACACTCAAAGATTTAAAGATTTGTGTGTATTGAAATTCTTGTGCTTGCCTTTTCGGGAAAGCCGACCAATTTTAAAATAAAAATACAATATTTACATAAATGTACATGAAATAAAATATAAGTAAGACAGAGATGAGTTAAGGGGAAAAGTGCAAAACTGAGCAGGTTGTAAAAAAAAACTTAAATGAAATGAGTGCAATATAAATTGATAAAATAATATATAAACAGTACAGTAACAGTAAGTGAAATCCTAACAAGCTAAGGTGCAGACCAGTCGTGAGTCCTCTCAGCGGTTGATGGCTCTAATGGCAGTGGGGTAAAAAGAGTTTTTCAGTCTGGTGGTCCTGCATTCGGCACTTCTACACCTCCTGCCTGAGGGTGGAAGCTCGCACAGTCCACGTTGGGGGTGGGTGGGGGTCTTTGAAACGGAGGCAGCTCTCCTGTGAACCCCGCGGTGGTAGATGCTCTGCAGAGAGGAGCTCGCAGCTACTTTTAGCATTTGAAGCCCCTGTCCGCCTCGATGCCTCTCCCCCCCCCCCGTCAGCGTTTCCCCAGCCAAAGGTAGCTTCCCAACAATGAGACGTGAACCATGAATTGCTTTTCAGCCGAGTCAAACTTCCCAGCCACCTAATGGCCTCGTGTCATGTTCACCACCAGTTCCAGCAGCAGCTCTCCTCCCTGCGCCGCTAATTAGCAGGAAGCGGAGGCCCCACCACGTCCCCCCAGACTCCCCCCTTCACCAATGAGAATAACAGCCAGCGCGCCGCGGAATGAATTATGGATCCTTTAAAAAAAAAAAAAAAATGTTTTCACTTTGAAGAATCACGCGAGCACTTTTAACACGCGGAACGTTTTGGTGGCCATTTATATGCACGTTTTTTTTTTTAAAAGCTGTTTCCAATGCCGGCGGAGACGGAGTAATGAGTGTACTCGCGGCGGCGTAATGAGTCAGCCGAGCGTTTGGTTTCAACCAGAGCGCCACCCTGAACCGCTGCCCTGCTGTGTGTGTGTGTGTGTGTGTGTGTGTGTGTGGCATCCAGCTCTCTCCCTTTATCCCCAGCAGACTCCGGCTGGCCTTCCGAAGCCTTTCTGCACCGCTGAGAGCTGCCTCCGCTTTTCAAAATTCAAGTGGGTGCCGCAATATCAACTTTGTAAATACGGAGAAATCCTTGAGACACTCTGCAGAAGCCGGGATGATTAAACGGTTGTTGGTTGGGTTTGAAACCAACATTTTCTCTCGATGAGATTACATGAAGCAGAATTTCATATTCGTTTTATTTCTTTCTCTCCGTAGGACGTGGAAGATATTCCTCCCCGGTGAAAAGCAAAGCACCACACACACTCCTGACCTCGATATAACAGCTTTCATCTTCAGTGTGCTGAAGAGTTCACTCAGACGAGATGAAGCCTTTCCGGAGCTGCAGAACATTCACCCGGGTCGGCTCCTCAGAGAGAGAAACCCGACTGTTTCAGTCAACCTCCCAAATTACGAAGGAAACCCATTAACGAATCCAATATCATTGTGCTTTTAATGTGCGACTTTGAAAAGCCAGCGAGAGCTATTTACGTGCATTTTTAATTGGGTGGTAAAAATGAGGGAGAAGGAAAGAAAACAGACGGCAGTGAACTCCACATCGGAACGCAGAGGCCATTTACAGCAATTTAGTGTGGCGGGAATCCAGCCGCCTCCCCGCAGAAGATCCAGTGACAGTAATGAATCAT